CTTAAAACAAGGCCAGAAGTCCAAAGCAAGGTGTCCTCCAGAGGCGTTAAGGAACAATCTCCTCTCTTCTAGTTCCTGGAAGCTGTTGGCATCCTTCCACTCCTGGCCACATCTGCTGTCTTCACACTGCCTTCTCCACTAGGTCTATTTTTATCTTCTTAGTTTGTCTCTCTCTTACAAAGACACTTGTGTTGGCCTACAGGACTCATCCAGATAATCCAAAGTAATCTCATCTCAGAATGCTTAATTATATCTACAAAGAGCCTGTTCTTAAATGCAGTAACATCTACAAGTTCTAGAAATTAGGGCTTGATATTTTTGGGTAGCCATTACTCAACCTATTACACCCATGTTTAGTATTTTCTAAGTACAGGAATGAACTAGTGATACTGCACAAATGGTTAGGGGAAGGATCAGCCTGGGAAAACCTGGTGTGTGTGCTGGGAGGATGAAGAAGCCCTACCTTTCACAGAAATAGTATTCTTTGGGTACAGACTAAAGATTGGGAAAATTTTAGAAAGGAATGCTAAAACATAATTTCCTCCTTCTCTGCCAAGGTCCTAGGATCTGATCCCGTAAAAGAAGCTGCTGCATTTATTGCCACTAGAGGAGTGGGCAATAGGCATGCTGTGCTGGGCCAAGCCAGCTGCCAACTCAACATGCATTCTTTCCTCCTTCATTGAAAGGAATCCCACTTGTATTTGGAACCATGGATTGCTCAACTAAAAACTTCACGTCCCAGGGTGCCTGGCTGGCTCAGTCGGTTGAGTGTCCAACTCTTGATCTCGACTCAGGTCATGCTCTCACAGTGGCTGGTGGGATCGAATCCTGTGTCGGGCGCCAAGCTGACAGCACAGAGCCTGCTTGGTATTCTCTCTCTCCTTCTCTCCCCCATCTCCACCCCCAGCCCCACCACCTCTCTCTCAAAAATAAATATACTTAAAAAAAAAAGTTCACTTCCCAAGTTTCCTTGCAGCCACCGATAATGTGACACATTTCTGCCTAGTGAGATAAAAGCAGAAATACCTAGTGGAGCTTCTGGAAAAGCTGCTATTTTGCTAATAAAATCTGCACCTTTTCCCTTAAGCCCTTCCTACAAAACAGAGGTGATGTCAAGAGGTATCAATGTCCTGACAAGGGCCCCGAGTCCTTGACAGCAGTGTGCAGTCACTTAATTAGCCCTGGACAGACTTTCCTGTCATAAGAGAAAAACAAGCCCTAATGGGAGTAACCATTATTGCTTGATACGTAATCGAACATACTTTGTAAGAACCAAACAACAGGTGGGCATTTTATAAGACACTACAAAGTCAACAATAATTGCATCATTCCAGTATCTGGAGATGTGACACCAATGCCGGTCCCAGACTGGCCCTCTTGAGTTATCTGTGTCCATTCATTTGTAATAACGTGCAGAGAAGGTTAATGTAGATTCTTTATTGATTCCACCAATGTATTAGTAGATATGATAATAATAAACAGTACTTTTACATTCTCTTAACCAAAAATATAACAAATATTTACACTCAGTAAAAATACAAAAAGCATACAGAGGCACTGTCTTTCTAAAAGACATAAGTTTAAGAGGTATCAAAAAATAGGAGACAAACATTGCTCATTACAGGATACTTTACAATCACTGAATTGTGCAGTATAATTGCATTCGATTACAACTGTGCAGTTTTGTTTTGTCTTTTTCTGATAAGCTCACATGTTTCTATTTCAAAAGGTCAAGTACAACTGCATTCTGTGTATCAAAAATAAAGAAGCCTTAAAAAAGCACAACAAAAGCTGAAGATGAACTGGAGTTCAAGTTTAAATTTGAAAATGTACTGTGACACTTTTTTGAAGATTTATCCCTTTTTTCTGGCCTTTAAGGTACTGCTAACGGGATACATCTACTTTAATATCACATTTTTTAGAAACTTAAAATGTATCAGAATAACAGTAATTGTTTTAAATATACAAAGAAACTCTTTCTCTCCTTCTTTTTATAGAGAAGAGAACACTTTATAAAAATTAGGTTTGTTCTTGGGAATCCTCATGATTACTGCCTCATTTCCCGGCCTGGGAGATTCTCAAGGAGGCTATACAGATGACGACAGTGTGACTTATCACCCTCATGAAAAAATAGTTAAGTCTTTTTCTCCCCAAAGATCAGATTCATAGTAATCATTTGGAGGAAATAAGAATCTACGACTTAAGATAAACTTTTATGGAAGTATATACTGGATTTATTCATTGTTCAAATCTTTCATTATGAAGAAACTGTTTTGTTGAAACTTATTTGGTAGAAACTTTGCACTGAGGATTTACTACTTCATTAAGTCCCGACAGATTTAGAGTTGAGGTGGGATGAGGGCACTAGTCTCATTAAAATTTTAAAATAAAAACAAAAACAAATGGGGACTGAGAACTGGAGGAAATACAGGTTAAGGCTTCTCTTGTTCTAGTCATGTAACAAACTAAGAGAAGGCAGAAGTGTTCCCTAAATTAAAATTAAAATGTAAAAATCCAAACTCCATGAGTTCTTAGGAGATACACACATACCACATACAAAGCATTTGGCTTTAGTTCCTGATCACTGTGATTGGCTGACTCAAACACTCACAGCTGGAGCCAGACAGACAAAGTCAGCTACAAGGTGCAGTCCCAAAGCACAGCCTCTGACTCTCTGTGCAAGATATTATTGACACCATTAAGGACAAAGACAGGTAAGGCTCCCATAGGATTTCAAACACCTGCAAATGAACAGATATTTTACAAACAGCACATTTTTTTTCTGGGGAAATGGATATAAAATAGAATAAATACTCAAACTTGACAAAAAAAAATGACTAACAAAAGTATCTTTCTTTGTTTGGCTCTGGACATGAAAACAATACTGCGTAAATCAGTGTAATCTTTGATTACAAAAAATCAAAGGACCAGTATTTATAGGTTAAATCACTACAGTGTGACTTTTAAACCAGGATTTTTGATCCAGGCCATTTTCCATTTCAACAGACCAAGAAAGCTAGAGAGCCAATTAGCCTCATTCTGACATACCTGGTGGGGTGGGGTGGGGTGGGGTGGTGGGCAGGTTTTTAAGGCTTTAAGTTTCAGATTGACATTTTTTCGTTTTGTTTTTGGCCCAAAGGAAGTTTTCAGATAGGCTATTTTTCCTAAAATGAAGAGACAATCATTTTGGCAGAAAAGATAGACCACTGCCACTTACCACTTGGAAATGATTCATGATTTTAAAATGAAGGGGACTGGGGTGGGAGAGGTGCCTAACTGGCTCAGTCAGTAGAGCATGTGACTCTTAACCTCAGGGTCAACAGTTCAAATTCCACTAAGGCATGAAGCCTACTTAACAACAACAACAACAACAACAACAACAAAAAACCAAGGGTTGGGGTGGAGGAGTGCAGGGAAGGAGATAGAGAAGAGACAGCTAGGAAAAAAAGAGGAAACACAGTCTTGAAAAGGAAATCACAAACCAGCTAAATCCTATAAATTCACTATAGACAACTAGTACTCAGAAGTAAACCCATTTTGGCTCCAAGTTGATCTGGGTAGTGCACATGAATGGCTTTGGCTTTTTTTTTTTTTTCTTTTTTTGGTAGTCATAGAAGTTAATTAAGCTCTCACCTGCATTTACATTTTTAAAACATGATTAAATTTAAACTTAAGATATAGAAAACACCGTATTTAATTTGTAAAAATGTGTAAGGTCTAGGTCGCCCAGTAAACAGTCACGGAAATTTTAACTAAACAATTAAGGAGCGCCATGCCCAACAGACTGTTAACACATAGATCTCTTTCCTCTCAAGGGCTTAAACTGAGAGCCAAGAGAGAATCATTCTCATAATTCTAGCTCCTCTGTCCCCCCCCTAAAATTTTCAACCAATTGATACCTTGGTACACTAATGAGCTGTGTTGCAGGCAGCTGGGGGCCGCAAGGTTTATGAACACAGCCTCATGCTGTGAGATTGAGTGGAGGGGATGTTGCAGAACATTACATAAAGCTTAATTCATCTCCATGATTACACACCAATGATTGCACTTCCTTCTTAAAAAAAGAACTCCATTATTTGAGCATTTAAAAATTTTTGTTTTGGGTTTCTGCAGAACTCTCTAGAACCCATTCCCTACTTACTGGATTTATACTTTTAGGTAGATGCAGCACGACATTCACTTCAAAAAGGGTTGGTATACATGTTTAAGGAAAACTTCATTCTTTAGAGATGAGGGTGGCTACCGACCTAATTATAGCCTCCCTTTCCCAAAGGACTGATAAGAAACCCTGTGGCAGCTTCATTTGGCATTCCAAATCAGCAGATGGCAGTATCTTCCCTCCTAACACCTCAAACAAATACGGCTTCCTTCCCCACTCAAACGGAGACCCTACCTTGCACTGGTGCAACAGATCAAGTTCATCTCTGTATACATTAAGCATATCATCCTGTAAAGATGACTTCAGTTTGTTCAGACCAGAGACAGTTTTATGGCCTAAAACATAAACATCCACTAATGGTAGCTCCCCAATACAAAGAAAACCACAAAACTTGAAATAATAAGTTACTTTTCAAATACACAAGAGTATCCTTGGTATTGGCAGACATTTTCAATTTGTCCATTAACCCAAGCTATGGCTTGGAAATACTACCACTACTCTCTTAAAAATAACTTCTTCAAGAAAAATCTGATATACACAGGGAGGACTCTGAGTTTGAATCTGTTCTAGTAACTGTGGTCCCAAGGCAGGTCTGGTGTGTGAAGTGAAGACTGGTTTCCAGGCACAATATCCATAGCTGAAGAAACTATGCATCTACAAGGATTAAATAAAAGGAAGCATAACTCAGGGCCATTTCATTGCTCAGGGTACGGGGAATGAAACCTCTGGATTAGCAGCAGCAGCAAGCTTTTTGGTGGCAATGGCCTGCAGAATCATGACGTGGTTCTACCCACTCCTTCCCCGACGACTTTCAGTAAACTTCAAACGGGTGCTCCAAAGTCTAGACTGCTGAGACCTGTTCATTTTCTGCAAACAGTAAAAACAGAGGAAAGTGGTAGATGAGGCATATTAATGAAAATCAACTTACAATGTAGTTACCTGTTTAGACAATTAGTCAATTTCAACGAGAAATCCTCTCAAATATCCCATCAGGGCCCTGATTTTATTATAATGACATTTATGAGTGTTGATCACACTTGAAGGCTGAAAAACTACAATTTCCTAACTGCTTTTTCATCACTTCATTACTCTACTGTTTAAAAGGATACAATTTTACTTATTTTTAATAAAGCGAACCATTTTTGAAATATCGCCCCAGCTGCAGTCAGTCAAGAGTTTTGCTCATAAGAGAAACGACATCAACGGCATGAATTCAGGCAACTCAGCACTTTGATATTTGCACTGTGAAGTTTTCATGCTTTTATGGGAGACACAACTCCACTAATGTCAAGTGCCTCCTCTTGAAATTATCCTCTGAGATTGAGCTGCTATTTGTCAAATATGAGAATACCCTATTTGAGCCAGAAGAAAGGTACAGGGCACAAAGAAACAAGCAGCTTGATCTCTCCATTAAAAAAAAAATACACCCCTGTATTTAGGAATTTCTTTTTTTACCAGAGATTTGTAAGGCATTTTACATGTAACCTTAATGATTATGTAAAATAACATAGTAAAGACCAATTAATGTATTCAGCAATTCATTTAAGACCCGTTAAGGTAGTTTGTCAACATACCATCTGTTTCGCTATCTGCGTCAGTCACATCTGCTAGTTTAGGATGGGATGGTTGCAAAATATGCCTCTGAGGCTGAGTTACAATCTTCGATGGAACACAGGCCACGGGGCTGCTACCGAGAGAAGCTGGTGGAAGTCTAGAGAGGCTGCTATGCATCATCTTTGACCTCTGCACTGCCACACTATAATCTGGAGGTCTTAGGTGTAGGTGGGGTCCTTCCTTTAGGTCCGCTAAAGAAATGCCCATGTATCCTGGAGGAGTGGGAGGTGGCTCCCTATACCTATCCTCCTTCTTGGGTGAGGTGACACAGTACACTGGCATGAAAAATAAGCAATGGAAATGTTAATGAAAAATGTAAGAAATGAAAAAAACCATACTGAAACTTATTACACTGACAAAACAGAAACCAAAACCAAACTAAATAAATATATTTGAATACAATGACAGATTATAAAAACATACTATTTTAAACCTTAGTATTAAACCTGTTTTTTCAAACACATAAATCACATGAGGTCTTATAAACATAAATAAACAGAGTGACAGAGAACTGAAAACAATGATGCCGTGATAGGCCCCCCTCTGCAGGGGGGCCCTTGTACCACAGAGATGTCTGCCTGGCTCCTCGACGACTCCAGGTCTGAGGACGATGGAGTCAGAAGCATTGAAGAGTTTACCCTGAACATCTATGCTCTGCTGACTGAGAGGATTTTCACAGGAAGGACGTCTGGGCCCTCTATTTCAGGTCTCTTCTACCCTGTCCCTGAGACACAAACCACTGTTTCATGGCCTCCCAGGTGGACTATCAGTCCTGGCATATGAACAACATTAACGTTCTGGGAAATAGAGGTCCTAATTCCTTCAAGAACCTTCCTTCCAACTTCTGATCTGTGACTAAGTGAAAAAGAAAAAAAAAAAGCTATCATTTTAGGCAATTCATCTTAAGTTTCCGTGGTTTTTAGTGGACATTAAAAATAACTGTGATTGGGGTGCCTGGGTGGCTCAATCAGTTAAGTGTCCAACTTCAGCTCAGGTCATGATCTCATGGTTGATGAGTTCACAAGCCCCTGCATGGGGCTCTGTGCTGACAGTTCAGAGCCTGGAGCCTGCTTGAGATTCTGTGTCTCCCTCTCTGTCTCTCTCTCTCTCTCCGCCCCTCCCCCAGTCATGCTCTGCCTCTCTCCATCTCTCAAAAATGAATAATTGTTAAAACATTTTTGAAAAAATAACTGTGACTTTTGAAAAATTGTGACCTAAAATCCTTTTCCCTAAGTTTACAAATGTTGGGAGTAAGGCAAAGTTTCAAAAAGCATCAGAAATGGGTTAAAGAAAAAAGGAAGTTCCATGAAATTAAGAGCGATTCGCAGGATCTAAGGGACAGGTGGATCTGAATATCCTGATGACGTAAGTAACTTTTAAACACAAGCATTACCTATATATAAGCAGAATAAATTAAAAAGGACCATTAATAATTCTAATATTAACTCTCCTTTTAGAGGATCAAGTTCTCCCATACTGAAATTTCTACAAATGTACCAGCAAAATCTGCATATAGTATCAAGGTCCTAAAGGATTTCCATTCCTAGCTGAGAGGATGTGGCAGGGACAGCGCAGAGCACAAGTTGTCAAGACCAGTAAGACAAGAATGAAGAATTTAAGGAATTTGCCCAGAGTCATCTGGAAATGAAATAAAAGATTCTTAAAAATCTAGTTGCCTAAAAGGACAAGAGATTAATTATATATCCTTGCACACACATGCTTATATATTCATATAGTGGTTACCTAGAAAGATTTAACAAAAAATCCTTGGAAAAAAATGAATGAGCTAAAAATCCCAAACCATAATGCAATTTGACAAGTAAAAAAAATGTACTACAAATGTGCTATAAAAATCAGCACATGTTTCACATTCTTAGAAATTTAAATTGACTTCAGGAATATGTTACAGAGTTGATTCATAATATAGTCATTCCATATAAATAGAAAAGCAGGGGCTACTATATCCTAATATTTACATAATTCAAGGAATAAATGAAAAAAATATATTTGAGGGCAAAATACTAAAAGAATACATACACCAAGAGAGCTGCGTGTAGTCAGAATGGAGCCCACAACAGGAGTTGGGGCACCCACGCTGTGTGCTAGAAGGGTATGGTGAAAATTTGGACTTTCTAAACACAATTACCCTCACTTCTGCTATCTAAAAATAGTACCAAAGTTTCTACCATTTGTAGAAAGCATTTGTGGCCCAAACTATGAGGTGGAGAGAGAACAATCCCTTCATTACTACTGCATAACAATAAAATCTTTCCTTAATGAAACCAAAGAGACCTGAAAAACAAAACAAAACTGTCGCCTTAATTAAGCACCTTCATAACAGTCTTTTCATTTTAATAGGCTTGAGCACATGCCCCCAAACCCTTAAGAAAGCATGAACTTTCTGAAAATAACTTGTTTGTAGAGGGCAGGAAGAGAGGTCGGAGAGAGAGATGGAATATTTGCCAAGCGTAAAATTCTGGGCCAACATATCCCAATGCGATTTTTTGCCACTTAATCTCTCAATGCCACAGATACGACAAAGAACACACAACTTACCAATCAAGCCCTTTTCTGTACTTGAAGTAACAGTTTTATAAACTGGGTCAGTGCCATCCTTGGGGTCCAAGCCTTCAGAGGACTCAAGTGGGGTGCTCTCCAACACTCTCCTTTTAACTGTCCCATAGTTTGGTTCATATGTGTCAGACAGAGAACTGGAGGAGGCCCAACTCTGTCTCATCTGATTAGTCTCTAGGCTTCCTTTACATTGACCACAAGTTCGGGAGCAGCCTTTAGGACAGGAATAGGGCTCACAGTCAGGGGGTTCAACTTCAACAATGGGGCCATCCAAATGGGTCTGTCGGTAAGAGTTCAAAAAATCCCAGCCTTTTGGGTTTGGAAGGCTTTGGAAGTTGTCATGGGAGCTGCTTGAACAGGAAGTCCAGCTTCCACGACCACTATCGGCTGCTTCTAAAATGATATGTTCATGAGAAATCTCTTCATTACTCATAGAAGATGACACGGCTAAACTCTTGACTAGAGATGGCTTTGACAGTGTCCACCTTTTTAAAAAAAAAAAAAAGTTAAGGATACACAATTAAAAGTGATTTACTGGCTTCCTGGAAAAACCTCCTGTCCAATCCAAGTACTACAAGAGACTACAGAACATGGATCATCAATGTTCAATACCAAAATAATCTTTTGAAAGAAAAAAAGACACTGTAATTAATCATCACTTAATCTCTATTCCCATTAATGTTAGTATTTAGCTAGAAACATACATGGAAGAAACTCAAATACTTAGCAAGGTTACCTAAGAATTTTTCCTGAATTGATTTTAAGTGAAAATGAAAAATGAGGTTTGAAACGAATACAATTAAGTATACATTTTCATTCTTGGTCAATATAATGCTACATTCTCTACATGGATACAGAATAAAGAATTCTCAACTATAGGAACCATGTTTGGTTTTCCAATTTAATTCTGAGATCAGCCTACTACAATGCCAAGTAAAGAGTAACTTCCCCGACTAACTAACAACTATTAAATGAATTCTAGTATTTATAGCAGGGGTGGCCCAAATAAAGGCTCCAGGGTCAAATCTGGCCAACAGATGTTTCTGTATGGTCTGGAGCAAACTGATAGCCTGCTGACATTATTTACTATTTTGACTTTTATAGAAAGGTCTGCTGAACCCTGGTCTAGAGAATCATACTTTAAAAACTTTTATAAATATGCTAATACTTTACTATATCTTCAGTTTTTCATATTAAGGAATACCAAATTTAACATTATTTATCGGCTTAGAATCAACTTTCTCAATGTTTTCTCAAAGATTTCCGTTTTATGTGATTGTAAATTTAAATTTACAGTTAACTTAAAAAAAAAAAAAAAAAAAGCTTTGGAGTTCCACAAGCTGGTTTAATTCTTACTCTCCAAATCATACTTTCAGATCAAGGACTGGCCCTACTCCCTCAACATGTCTACACTGTGTACAGTACTGGGTATACTTCCCATTATACAATCTTTTTGAGCATTCTCTAACTTAACAGCCACAGTGCAACAACCACCTCCCCTGTTGTCAACAGCAGCTTCTGTGAGTTCTTATTAAATAAAAATATACTTGACAGAAAGTTACTTGAATTCACTAACACTTCAAAAATGAGCACCGATACATAAAATAGTACTCATTTGCAAATGAAATACAGACAATCCATGCTTGGCCCTCATATTATTTTAGGGATCCCCCTACAACCACCCCAGGGGATAGGGGGTATCTAAGGCCAAGTTGGGGAGCACTGCTTGCAGTGGCCACTCAGCTTGGGTTTTGTGATATGAACACAGGCAAGTATGTTTTACCCAGGGCCCAGCTGACTATGGTCTCCTATCCCTGAGGAGTGTTCTGTTTTTTCCAATGGTCCAGTGGATTCAGGGACCGCCATAGCATGTGAAGAACACCGTTCATCCTGTAGAGCTGTAGACATGGAGTCAACAGAACAATTGCTCACGATGCTGGATCGTGAAGAAATTTCACTATGGCTGGAGTCAGACAAGTTGTCAGATTTAGTTGATGGCATAAGTGTACAACCTAAATGAGAAAAAACAAGTGATCAAACTACAAAACAAGGAAATAGGTAGGGGTATGTGGTCAGGGAGAAGACAAAGAAAAGCATAAAAACAGCAAAAGACAGTAGCAATCTCAGTTTCCATCTATGTGGCTGTAATGATGCCAATCTCCTACACACCTTCCCTCCATATTCACTCACCTACCTATCTATACTGTACCAACCCACCTCCAAACTCAAGAAATTGGAAGTCAAAATCAGGACTACTGAGGAAACTAGTCCAAATATGTACCTGCCCCACGTTCTCACATAGTTGTAAGCATTTAATAAAACAAGGAGAAATTACATGTATTTCAAAATAGTAAAAAGCAGACATCTTGAATTTCTCAACTTCTTTTTAATCCTGCGTCTCCTTTTTTAATGAAGATAAATATTTCATGGCCTGATCTGAATGTCTAGAATATCACCTTGAGGTAGGAGTGGGGGAGGGGAATCAAGACTCAAGAGAAAGAATTCTTTTCTGCTTTCTTCAACCACACATACTTACCCTAGATATACTGAATAATACCTAAGGAGTCTTGACCCAAATTGAAAGCAATTATTTTCATATTTTTTAATAAATATGGATTTAATCTTATACCTGGTTTCCTTTTTCTTCACCAACTTTGAAGAATATTGCATTAAACAGCAAAACTGACAAATTTATAAAAATGTGTTCTGAAAAAAACAGCATCTGCCTGTTTTAAATTGTTCTCTGACTTACTGCACAGCAGATATAGCAAGAGACATTTTCTTTTGCATTTTCTGGAATAAAGGGGTAGAGATGGAATGAGATGGAAGCATCCAAAAATAAATCTGCAGCATGACAGTTAAATGTACATTATGTCTGTTTTGATAACTGTTAGAAAAGTAAACAAAACCTCTTTTATTTAGAAAGAAAAGAAAATGCCAGTAGGTCTCAACGAAGCAAACAATTATTTTCCTGTTCACTGGACAAATGTGGTTCAAGAGATACATGACTTTCAGGACAATCCCTAGAAATCTCATTAAGAAAAACTACAGGTTTTATATTCACATATAACTCAAGTCACTAAAGAAAAAATCTGTTGAACAATAACCATAATGAGTACTTCCACTAATTATTTCAAAAAGAAAAATTAAGACCAAGAATATGGCTGATTTATATTTGCCTTATGGGACCAGGCACAGGACAAGTTGAGATAAGTCAGTCTTTTGACCTGTGACCACTCACTGCTACTGTCTCAGTGCCCTTTATGAATTGACTGGTAATTTTCAAGCGTACCATGAAAACGGATGTAGTAAATTTAAAAATATATAAATATAAACATATATAAATTCTTCCTCAAAAGAAAAAATCATTGCTCTTTTATCCTAGGGGATAGACCTGCTTTACTGTTTTAAGAGTAATTACATCCCTGTATCTGTTAGATCAGTATTTCTCAAATATAATCAGCTCTAAGAATCACCTGAAGGGTTATTAATATATATATTCTTGGGCTTATTTCTGGCAAGTCAGTATTTATGAGGTTTGTGGTAGACACAGTAACTACATTTTTAACAAATTTCCACATGATTTTCACTTGCTATTTTAGACTATCTCCTCTTCCTCCTCTGGGCCAGAGATTTATATGAAAAACGGATAAAATTAAAAGTGTGGACAAATGCAGCTTCTTGCCTTCTTTTTCCCTTAGCAGGTAAAGTAGTTGCAGTAATAAGAACAACAGAATTCTGAGGTAAAGGTGGTGATAAGATCATTCCTGGGTGTTCTCATGAGAAAGTAAATACTGATTTTTAAAAAGTACCTCTACTTATTTCATTCACAGTAGGAAATAAAGCCAACTACAGAAAACATGAGTATAAATTTTACTAACATTAGGAAAATAACATGTACAAATAAGGCACTTTATATAAATATGACTTTGTTGCTAGAGTACCTTTAACACTAATCATAAAATGCCTATATCAAGCATATTATACACTAAGTTTTCTGACTAAAATTTGTTCGATAAATAACTTAAGCTACATTTACATTAATAAATGAAAACAAATTCCACACTAAAATTAAGTAAGGAACTCCATCAGATTGTCTTTCTCCTTTTAGACTTGAATCGCGTATAGAAGCAGTTTAAAGTGTTACTGTTGCCTCGGCTATTTGAACTGAAGATGTCTTTCCCTTTCTCATCTTTGATGTTGCTTCCAACATCCTTCACTTTCTCACAGCTTTCTGTAGCTTGATTGTGATCTGCGTCCTCTTTTTTGCTGTTGGCTAGTCTCTCCCTTGAAAGAGTTCTTTCCCTAAATCTTCTAAACGGGGACGTCACTCTTTTTCTGGCTGTGTTCTCACAACTTGTCCTGTCTCTATCCTCCTCAGTGGCCTTCTCGGTCCTGTCTGTCCTTTTGGCTGTGCTCCTGGTAATCTGAAGGATTTTCTTTTGCAAGTAAACCCCGCCTATGCCGGGGCAGCTCTGGCCACTGATCTTGGTGCTGGACTCACGGGGAGGGGATGAGGAAGACCCTGAGAGGCGCAGCAGGATGCTGAGATCAGATAGGATACTGCCAACTGGAGGGAGAGATGCAAAAACCCTGTCACGGTCAATTAATTCTTTCCAATTAATCACAATTAGCTTGGTTTCTATTACAGAGTATTTTGTTATTAAAAAAATTCAAACATTTTAACAATACTGGAAAAATTGAAATCTAGTAATGTATTTCTTAAAGGACAGAAGTCTACAATATACCATAAATACTTCAGTCATTGCAAAACAGAACATGGGAGAAAAATTACCTTAATCAGAACAAGCTGGTAATAAAATATTGTTGAAAGTAAGCCAGGGTGGTAAAATCATAAGGAAAAATATGACAAGAGTATCAGGTGACCAGAATTATTTCTCAAAAGTAACTATGTCTATAATTTTCAGGCAGATTCTACTAAGAAAAAGCTTGGTAAAAAGCCAGACAGGACATATAAATACTAAGTACAATATAAGTATTTATAAAGCACCATTTCTGATCCTGTTTCATCTCCAAGGTGGAAAGGTTGCCCTCCTTATGCACTGAGGAAGATGGAGGTTAAGACTGCCTGATGTCATTTTTTAAAAGTTCTTACTTATATAAATTCCCCTTATAAAAAATAGGAATCTAGGCTTATTTCCTTGAATGTTAAAAAACAGAACACTAATTCCAAAGTTTAGCAAGAACCAGAAACAGATCCTACTATTGTACTCTTAGTTTAATAACATTTTTGTTCAGTTACAGACTACTGGCAAGACCATGTCTATGGAAACAAAAAGAAATCCAATAACTGGTTGGGGCTTTGGTAAAACATACTGTACAATTAGTAACAGTTTTAAAGATAATAAACTCCTCAGGTTTCCAAAGATTCTCAACATGCCTATGATAGGCTCCCAAAGCTATGAATGTCAAGGTCAACTGCTGGCCACATACTGAAAGACACTGTGGCAAAGACTCTCTATTCTAGTGTTGAGAGTAGATTTTCTGTCGAGAATGAGAGCAATGGGGAAATTCTTGTTCTCACGAGTAACGTTCAGGCAAGAACACCAAATCCAATCAACTAGTTTCCTAGTTAGAGAACTATGTTGGGACTTCCGATTAGTCTCCCCAAGGGGTGGAGGGTGTAAAGATGTGCCTGAAAGAGGATTAAGAACACACAGCCACTGTTCATTAGGACCATCTGTGTGAATGGATGTGGTAAGGAGCACCTCGGAGGGCACCAGGCACACAGTAAGAGGATGAAACAGACTGTACTTCACAAAATCACATGTGAGCTACATACCACAAGATCAGAGACCTGTGTTTTAAAAACATACCTGTTAATATATATTGTTTATACATCCTGTTTAATTTTTACTAATCTTTTCTGAGTAAAATCTGAATGAAAATTCCAGCTTCTCTCAGCTATGTGAAGGAGAACAGGAAACGTTAGAATGAAGCTAAGTTACCCTGGGATGGCAGAAGGGACAAAGAGGACACACTTCAATTTACTAAACACTTATCGTCTATCAGGCTTTATAAATACTATTTCGTTTAACCCTTGTATAAGTTCCCTAAAATAGCTGGTCTTTGTTCAGCTTATAAATTACCTGGGCTTAGTAATGCAGCTATAGTGGGGAACAGAGTTAGAATTCAAGCTCTGGTCTGACATCACTTACCATATCGCTGCCACAAATATGGCAAATAATAAAAAAAGAGCTCGCAAAAGTGGGATCAAACTTAGAACATGGGAGCGGGGGAAAGCTCTGGAAGCTTTTCATTCCCGCTAGAATTCATAAGGTTTTCTTCCCCAACCCCATGTGCCCTCTTGTACTGTGATTATTTAAACATGTGATTCTTTTACATCCAGGAAGATGATGCCAGAACTAAGGAGACTTTTTAACCAAAATACAAAAAGAGTGTGGAGCATCCAGTGTAAGAAATACACACACCATTTAAAATACTACACGTGCAGCTAACTTGAAATTGCATTTACATACACACTACCCAGTCTACTCAAGACAAAAAAAGCTTCACTGTGAATTACGAAAATGTAGGTCAATGAACAAGACCGATTTCAGGCATTTTACATCAAGAGGTTCTCTTTAAGTGTGATGTAAAATGCACAGGGCTATAAGTTATTTTAAATCCTGATTACTAAAAAGGTAATAATATTCCATTACTAAAAAAAGGAACATATCAACCTGAATATGTTTTCCCCCGAATTTTGTAGCTGGTTAAAACCAATTTATTGTAAAAATTCGTATTTTAAAATACTCCACAGAAATGTTTAAAAAATTGGAAATTTGAATAACACCACCAAGAATCTGCAAAGAATGAAGTGACTGTGACTTCTGCCTTCATTCTTATCTATGCATGTCCACTCTGAATACAGAAGTCCTAGCATATATAAGGCACAACACCTGGAGAGCATCTGAATAATTTAAACTAAAACATGAAAGTTCAAAAAGTATCAGGAGGTACATGTTTCTTCACTTTCTATTATCACTAGAGATGGAAAAAGCAAATTATGTGTCACAAAGCGTTGCTTGGTGTAAGAACAACTAGCTTAAACTGTTACGTCTTACCTTTGCGAGGAGAGCCTTGAGGAGATGCAGGAGGACTCGAATGTAAGGATGATGCCACAGAGATCGTATCTTCTGGATGTTTCTTACCAATTATTTCTTCAGTTGTCCCTAAAACTTTCTGAGGTAAATTTGTACCTGAAAATAAAACCCAAGAAGCAAGTAAGCATCACTTCACAATGAAAATATCTGTAAGGTGCCTCATACGCTACGTAACTAAAGCCATGATGCACAATGGCTAGTGTAGTCAACTGAAATGTGTAAATGACAAACAGGGACTAAATGACTGGGTAATAGCATACAGAGATTCTCACCTCTAGGTTACTGGTTCCAATTCAGCTAGTCAGCACAAACCACATTATAACGGTTCTTTGTTGTCTGTTTTGTGGCGTAAGGGAAACCGATTTAATGGTTTGAGTGTAGTGTCCCAGCCCCCACAATTAACACATTTGTCGGAAGTCTTAATAGGCAAGGTATGGATTCCAACTCTTCTCTCCCCTCTAGAGGTGGCCTCTCCAAGTCAGGGTGAGGCACGTGGCCAGGGCAGTGTAGGGATGCTGGCACTGTCACTACCCGTGGGCATATGGAAGAGGCTGCCGGGCTGCCAGTCCAGCCCTTTTCAATAGGACTAAATTCACATTATAGGAGAAAAGTAGACAACAGAAAGAATCATGAATTTATAGAAAAATAGTATGGAGCCCACTGGAAACATGCTGCAAAGTTCTATCTTTACTCTTGTTGAATAGACGTTCCTGTTTAGCATAGGTCAAACTTAGCAATGGTTTCACGATACTGACATTTTTATATTATAGATCTTCTCTAAGAAAAGTCAAAGAGCTATCGACACTATTGTAATCAGTAAAGTAAGCCCAACTTTGATGGGCATTTGTCGTAGTAACAAGCGGCCCTTTTTAACAATGCAGAAATTTAAAATTTAAATCACAGTATACTCACACTGCTCTTAATTAAGTGCTTTTTTAATATGAATACATTTATCACATAAATAACAGCCATATTACAACAAGCAAAAAGAGGGGTACTTGGAGTTAATACTGCCTCTTGGGTGATGACATCCGAGTAAGAAGCCAGACCTACACCTCTCCTATTTCTCACTTGACCAGCATATTGACTGATTTCATCAATTTTGTACCCAATTATTTCCTCATCTCCCCAACCATCAAACTAGCTCGGGCTCTGAGCAACGTCCAGTGAATTGTTCTATCAGCCCTCCTTTTGGACTGTCTATCTGCAGTCTCACTGCCCTCCCTACTCTAGTTCTTCTCCAAATATAAAGTGGACCATAACCTTCCCCTGCTCAAATGTCTGCAACAGCTACCCACGGACAACTGTCCTTTGGCATGCCATATTAAAATTTCAGCATGCCTAGGACTTCACTTCTTGTCATCCTGGGAGGCTGTTTAATATGATGGTTGAAAAAAAAGACTTTAAAGCCAGTTAGCCTGCGATCAACTCCCACCTCCATCACACACTGGCAGTGTGTAAGTTACTGAGACCTTCTTTGTTTACTCTCTAAAACAAGAGTATTGCCTATCTTATAGGGTTATTATGAAGATTAAATGAACGTAATGAACTTAGTAAAGCATAAAGCACTCAGAACTGTGTCTGGCACTCAGGCGGTACTCTGTAGGTGGTAGCTTTAATTATTATTGTCTCTCAGCACTCTTTCTGCAGCTCTACACTCAGAGGCAGCAAACTGCCAGTAGCTCCTTGCAGACACCATGCTTTTCCTTTGCTTGAAGCAATTTCTCTGCAGTCTTTGCCTCATTACCTCCCTCTTGATCAAGCCTTAAAACTCTGCTTAGGTGTTATCTCCACAAAGCCTGCTCTGAAGTTCCACTTTATACTTAGCTCTGTGTGCTTCAGAAACTTCCCATTTTTTGTTTTTTTATATGCTCTGAACATACTCTAGGCATAAAAGCAAACATATTATATTTGTTACCGGTTTGTGGGTCTATAGTACCAAAATGGAAACCTGGCAAAGGCAAGGAGTGGGGGGCACTTCTTATTCAACTTTGGATCTCAAAACAAAATCAAATAAAATTCACAAAGTTCTACTAAATATGTCCTAAATGTATAATGCATGGGTTAAGCGCTAATGTTAGGAACCAAACTAAATGTAGCTTCTTTTCTACATGGCCTAGCAGAGGAGGGATAAAGCATGGTCTATACTTTATAAACCTTACAATCTTTTCTTGTCTCCTCACTAGGTATTTGAGAAGTGATTGTGAATGTAAAAACAATATACATTTTTAGAATAAGCAACCTCATTCTCATAGGTTGCAGGTGCGTTAGGTAAGTGTTCAAATGCACCTCTGAAAGCAGCAAACGCTTGGTACCTAGGCATATTGCTCTAAGTTTTCTGTTGCTAGGACTACAGGAATTCCAATTATCAGCATTTAAGATATTTATGCTGTTACCAAATACCTAGAGGTAAACAAACATCTTTCAATTCATGAATGACAATTATATGAACTATACTAGCTGATCTTCTGAGCATTTATATTTGTAATTATTTTTCATTCTAACTCCCCTGGAAATTTTAATTAAATCAATGCAATAATTGTGAATACTCACATAATGTGGCGGGGTCTTTTGCTTGTCCCTTCTTCCTGATGGGGTGCAAATTAACAGCTGGCACTTGGAGTGCCTGGCTCACTCTGTGAGGCTGATGCAAATGTGCTTTAGCTGTTTGGCCCGCTGATCTCATAGGCACTGGAGACATTTCTGAGGACTTGGCCGATCTTTTCTCATTGAAATTCTTAGTCACTAATAGAACAGAGTAAGAATTAAGTAACTGTGTACTTTTTTAGGCAAGGTTATCACTAGTGACAATAATGACTGCATTAAAACCTTCTATTTTTAACAGAAAAAATACAACAGATTAATCTTCCTAAAAATAATTTCATGTATTATAAAACATGACTTCTAAAATGTCTGTAGAATTAAGTTGCTTCCTCCATACATTCTGAACCCATTAACTTAAATGGTCCCCTTTCCACCATAACAGTGACAGCCAAGTTTACATCCTCTCATCTACACTACTGCAATACACTTCCCTGATTGGATCAATTCTAGTCTATGACTTCAAGCCACTCTCAACAGAACAGCAGAGTGCCTCTTCCAACATGAAAATCGGATCATACCAGTTTCCTTCTCCAATTTTATTCTATCAGCAGTTTATCAAGTTCTAAGTATCCTATTGGAATTTTTATTGGCATAACATTTAATCATATATATGTGTAAAATAACATCCACTGTGTAAAATAACAGCCACTTACAACTTAATCTTTTTTGATTGTTACAATATAGTGTAATTTACCATTTTTGATTTCTGCTTTTACAACTCATGATTTCCTTGCCCCAGACACATATACCCTATGTTGTTCATATAGGTATTCTCGGCTTTCACAAGTTGTATTACTCCATTTTACTTTTACAAAATACCTACATTAGAAATTAGCCCAAATAGCCCAAATAAATTCAAAGAGGATTCTTGCTTACAGAGGCAATGTAAGAAGCAGTGAGAAGAGAACCAACAAGCTACTTTCACAGAAACTACACTCAGCACCTCAGTATCAAACTGCTACTTTAAAAAAAAAATTTTTTTTAATGTTTATTTATTCTTGAGAGAGAGAGAGACAGACAGATACAGTTTGAGTGGGGGAGGGTCAGAGAGAGAGGGAGACACAGAATCTGAAGCAGGCTCCAGGCTCTGAGCTGTCAGCACAGAGCGTGACGCAGGGCTTGAACTTACCAACTGTGAGATCATGACCTAAGCTGAAGTCGGACGCCTAACCAACTGAGCCACCCAGGCGCCCCTAAACTGCCTTAACTTTAAATTGTGTCTGTGAGCCTGTGTGCTCTATCTAGATTTATTCTGTGCATCTGTTAGTAAGACGTGTCCTAAAGTATCAGAAACGCCTAACTGAGGTTATTTTTTTTGGATCTGGGAACACTCAAATTTTTTTCCATAGAAATTAATGGTAACTGCTTCTTCCCTTTATGTCATTTTGGCCTACAAAATCTTTCATAGGAATGTTCTACTTACAAATGGTGGGGGAAGCCTATGTGTAATTAAAAAATTTTGAGAATAGGCTCTCCTTTTTCCACCATATAATTCCAGTATTTTAACAATATGAGAATGTGCCTCACTTTTCTTAGTTCACCTTACTAACACCTATTGTTTATAAGGCTTTCAATTAAATTTCTTCCATTTCCTAGTTGGCAAATATCTATGAAATTTAACGAAGATAAAAGATCACTTAGTTTTACTCTGTATTTAGGGATGAAGATAAAAATGTCCTCAAACTGAAGGGCTCCTCTATAATGTTCCAGTTTTTATAAGAAGACTTTCTAATGATTTTTTTAAACGTTTATTTATTTCTGTGAGAGGCAGAGAGTGTGTGTGTGTGTGTGTGTGTGTGCGCGCGCGCGAGCGCATGCGTGAGCAAGAAGGGGATGGGCAGAGAGAAGGAGACAGAGGATCCAAAGTTGGACATTCAACCAAACAAGCTACCTAGGGGCCCCAACTTTCTAATAATTTTTTTAAAATGTTTATTTATTTATTTTTGAGAGAGAAAGAGAGAACACAAGTAGGGAAGGGGCAGAGAGAAAGGGAGACAGAATCTGAAGCAGGCTCCAGGCTCCAAGCTGTTAGGGCAGAGCCTGACGCAGGGCTTGAACTCACAAACTATGATGAGATCATAACCTCAGCTGAAGTCAGATGCTTAACTGACTGAGCCACCCAGCCTCCCCTCTAATGCTTTTTAAAGAATTCTTCAACCCTCAGTTTCCTACACATGGCAATTAGGAACGGATGGAATTCAGTATCCAGATAAGAGATCATTTGATGCTTGGGATGTCAGAAACCTTTTTGAGAGAAAGTTAATTTTCACTGGACTTAAGCTTAACTGTAAAGATATAATGTCTATTTTGTTGTACTATTTAACATCACATTAAGTGAAAACTTGTACTTACAGGTACCATAGGCAGGCTCCCACTGCAATGACATCATCTGAAACTTTTCCTCATCTGTGTCCACATCCAGACTGGAAAGATACTGCTTCACTTTTCTTGCCATTTGGGCATCCTCGTAGAGCTTCTTGGCGTTGAGCAGAGAGCTGCGGCGTGCCCTTTTCTTGTGAGCACCTCCTTGAACATCTAGCATGTTAGAGTTTGTGCTGCCTTGACTCAATGACCTGTAGGATGATGGATATCACAATGAGGGACAGTAAAGATGAGAACTACACATGGCAGATTGAAGATTAAAAGAATTTTGTTCTGTTAATGCTACTGCATGCTGATGCAAATGAGTTAAAAGATGAAGAGCATTAATGCAAAGTAATATGGCACACATGGCTATGTTCTAAGTTTTAAGATTCGGCAAAGTGCAGAATTCAAAAGAGTAAGATAATAATTTTTCCTCCTCCCTCCAACCCCGTGCCCCAGCAACAAATTCCATGAAATCTGTGTTTGTGCCTATGCAATCCATGGCACAGTTGGGACAAGTAAACAGCAGCCCCCGGAGGCCATCCAAACTCTGAAAATATGGCAAGAGTCTGAGTCAGAACAAGTCCATCCTTAGCCAGATCTCTATACCAGGATTCTTGAGCAAGGGAGTTTCTACAGGAGCTTTGCTTATCTGTGCTGCTTCTTTGGACATGCCATAGCCATCACCATTCCTATCTACAGCAGGCCACTCTTAGAAAGCTAACCAATTTTACCACTAAGTGTTTTGGCCAAATTCAAAGAGAACAACCGAAAAGAAAAATAGGCATTTATACTCAATTCCGGATAGTCAGAGACCAGAAGTACAAGAGAAAGCTCAATCTCCCACTCACACTTGGAATGGTTAGGCAATATGTGGTTCTGGACTGAGGATCTGGGACTTGGGAACTTTCTTTGCAATGCCTCTGCGATGAATTACAAGCTGGGTAGAAATAACCACAGTTCAAACAAACTATAGCTTCACCCAACCTCTTTGTGGCAAACCTCATTCTATAATGGCCACATCTGGAACCAATGGAAAACAGGAAAAGCAATGCTATTTGTCCTTTCTAATGAGGCTAGAAACACGAAGTTCTTAAATGATTTTTATTCTAAATGCAGTTCTCACTCCAAAATAATAAAGTTATCTATGGGTTATCTAAACGAGCCTCATATTTACCCTAAAAAATTCTAAATACACAGATCACAAAGAACAATTTGTTCTGCAGTGCTCACATACTATTTAAAACCGACAATAAAACCCTAATGTGTTCATTGTAAATTAAGCAAAACAAAAGTTGTAAAAGTGTCACAGTATTTTTTTCTTTCACAATTTTAATATCTTTGAATTAAGATGTGTCTTACATTTGAAAGCAACTTTTGATTGCTGCTGGTCAGGCAGAATCTGTGACATGGTTGTCACTACTTGTACACACAGAAACTTCAAAACTTGAAGAATGGTTGGGAAGAAAATCCAACAACATTAGTGAATTACTCTTTTAATCTCCAGTAACCAAATGATTTTAAGAAGGTAGTGGATGTGACATGTTCAACAACATTCTCAGAGCAGCTGTCAAAAAGAGGACAGCTCTAAATATATGCAAAGCCAAGCTAAGAGCCCAGCACCAGCAGCTTTTACTTCTTTAATGGCTTGTTTTAAGAAATACTTCATTACCACTACAGTTGATGGCACAAAAGAAAATACCGTGCAGAGAAAAACACCCAGAAACTAGTAACTCAGAAGATTCATATTCTAAATATGAGTGAGTTTGACAGAGATCTAAATAAACCAATTTAATGTGCTCACATTTTTCTTTTAATGAATGTAAAAGGGTGTTATGTGATAAAAATACCTATCTAAGTTTACATAAGAGCTCTTTTAAATAAGCATAAAGTAAAACATTTTCAGTGGTAAGAAGGCACTTAAGTGATTTTTTCTTAGTGGTACATAAAATAATGGTGTGTCCAACAATCGATGATCTTAGATTCAAATATATGCATTAAAATCAAGTGCCAACATTTAGGAACAAATTTTAATACAAATGTTTTAGTAATTTTACCTTTACTGATACAAAAAAAAAAAAAAAAAGTCCACAAATCTAGGATACAAAATTCTAGGAACATTGTAATAAATGACAATAAAATGCCTTCTAAACTAGTCCCAAAACAGAAGAACGCTATGAAATAACAAAAATGCCTACTGTCTGCAAGTATCATACAATGCAACCCTAAAACTGAACAAACAATGAATGTGTTAACCTAAGTCATTCAACAGCCCAAATTCCTACTAGAATGTGCTGATCAAGTATTTTTCTTCATAACAGTAATGCCAGGAATCAATTTCTATTTTCAGTGAAAAGAACCAGAAAAGAACAAGACATAGATGTATAATACAGAAGGAAACACATGAGAAAAACACAGGGAAGGAAGAATGTAGAAGGAAATTCAAGTTCACCAAAATTCAACAGAAAACAGGATCACAAATAAGACAAGACTCAAGTTCAAGTAAGTGGCTCACAAAAAAAAAAAAAAAATCCTTTTTGTGTGTAATTAAAGCATCTGACTTCATGATTCACTCTAGTCTTAAAATAACAAAAATCCTTCATATGCAATCCCTTCATTCACAAAAACTGTCTTTCTTCATCTAAAAATGAAAGGATACATAGGTGATTTATAAGGTCCTAAACATTCTAGGGTTCTAAATAAGAGATATCTATGTATAAGGAGAGATCCAAACATACCTGAACAGCAAAAGGTGGCAGTTTCAAATTATATTACAGTTTTTTTTTAAAGTAAATTCTGCCCCCAATGTGTGGCTTCAACTTATGACCCCAAGACCAATGCTCCACACACTGAGCTGTCCAGGCACCCTTGACTATATCACAGTTTAAACAGAGAGAAAGGAGTCTCTTATTTAAAATGGTACAAATTTAAAATAAAATTCAATGAATATTGTTTATGTCACATGGTATTAATAGATCTGAAGAATTAAAATCATCTTCCATTTCAGTCATTTACTGACTTTATAGTATAGTTTGGATAAGGGCTGCCTCTTTTTGTAAAACTGATGGAAATATAAGCTTTATAAACAAACTTTGCTCATTTTTATGTAATTACATATTTAGATAATTACATATAAGACACGTGAACAAACTTTTTAAAGGAGGCTTCATGCCCAAGGCTTGAAATCATGACTGAGAGATCAAGAGTTGCATGCTCTAATGACTGAGCCAAGCAGGCTGCCCCACAATAAGGGATTTGAGAAAAAGAAAATGGCATGGACTCTGGAGTGATACTACCTAAGTATGAACTAGCATTAGTGAGCTTTAATTGAGACAAGTGTATCTTCCCCACGTGCACCATAACAATACCGGTATTTATCTCACAGGGTGCATGGAGAATTAAATAATTCTTATAAAGTGCTTAGAACAATATATGGCACATAACAAGCACACAACAAATATTTACTATCATCCTCTTTTAACTGACCCTACTAAATGAAAATCTACAAGGGACTTACGGGACACCAACAATGGAAAAGTCCATGGGAAAAAAAAGCTACTTCTATCACTATTTTCACCTTGTTAGCAAAAGGCATTTGTGAGGAGCGTAGGTTGACAGGGTTAACAGGATGCATGCTAGTTCATCCGCGTGCATTAACGAAAAGGATGCAGTACGTGTTAAGAGTTGCACAACCTCTGGTTCAGGTGCATTCATCTCTACACTTACCCCAGACTCCGCCACCTCTTCTTCCTGTAAGCAAGAGCCACAAACATTGACGCATGGGTTTGAATAGGAAAGCACAGAAAAAAGACAACAGTTGAGAGTCAGAGAAACTATGGAGACAGAATAGAACAGAAAAATTTTACTAAGAAAAAATGGCAGCTTAACAGTAAAATGACTTTAATGGAATGCAGAGGGGGTAAAATGAATTAGGATGTGTACCGGAAGCCAACAAACCCACAATATTCTTTAAAATATGCTGTAAGGCTAATTATATTTCTAATATCTAATTCACACCATAGGCTTATGTTAATAAGCAACTTAAGAAAAAAAATACTTATTATAAATTTTGAATTTAGAGTTTTTAAGGGACGTAAACCTTAAATTAAGGAAGAGAATTTTTGAACTTTTTTTTGAAAGGATTTTTGAGCACTCCTTTCAGTGACAAGATGAAGTTACAAGGAACATAAAGATTTATAATGTCATTTCTCAGGGCAGAAATTTCTCCAACAATGTACTTTAAAAGAAATTTTGACCAAGAAGTCAACTTAAAATTTAAGTAAAAGTATAACATCAGAATAGGATACTGCATATCCTTGTACTACAAATGGACTGAATAAAGATTGCTTTTTATTTTATTTTTTGCCCCTCGCCAGAGTCCATGTGCTGCAGGTGGCCCAAGACTCTGCTTTTCTATCAGCAAACTGTTTTCTGTCAGATTACTGTTAGAATGAAAGAGGTTACTTTTTCCACACTATATAATATACACCACAAAAATGGATAACTACTTGCTTAAAGAAAAAGTGCATTTAAGTACTGGTTAAAAAAGAAAACTGATTCAGGAAAAGTTCAGTCCAATTCAATTTGTCCAATCTAATTATGAATGTTTTATTTTCCCCTATCTTGTAGTCTACTTAGCCCAGGTCATGCCCCAGAAAATGGCCAAGTTTATTAAATTCCTCCTTAGGTTTTTCCTCCTTTGTTCATTTTTGAAGCATAGCTGGTACTTAATATGTTATTTACTGGTCTGTAGGGGCACAAATCCATTGCTTTTGGGAAGGAGTGCTAACATATATGAGAAAATGGAGGTCCACGTAAGACAACAGGCAGTAGTGGGGCCACTGTACAGAAACAAGCAACAAAGGCAAAAACTTAAAAAACAAACAAACAAACAACAAACCTTCCTCCAGGTTTGCTTTGGTCCCTGGTTCTTACTGTTTTCTGCTTCCATACTACTGAGCAACAACATGTCTCCTTACATGTTGGATTCCTAAGGGCGGAGCGGGATGGGTAGTGAAGAGTGACCGCCCCCTTCGTCTGTTCTCTGAGGATCTCTACACTAGAGCCAACTATCAAATCAACTACTTACAAAAACAAAGACTCCTGAATAGTAATCTAAGTAAAACAGAAGAAAACACCTATACTGACACATACTGATACTGTTTGATTACAAAAATTCCACCTTTGATTTTTAAAGAAACAAGTGTTTTTGTTTCCTTACTGGACTGTATTTTTTTTTTAGCCAGAGGAACCGTGCCTATCTTTGTGCCTATTTCATTTTTAAAAGCCTTATACACTGAAGTTATACACATAGGCCTGGAAGAAAGTAAGTCCCCTAAATTAGAACCCTAATATCTATTTACCCTGAAAATTTTAGAAATTACTGAGAAGGGTTTGACAACACACTTTCTCTAAGTTTTACTGAGTTTGAGAAAGTCTCTGTTATTACATTAAAACTGAATTTTAAAAAGCATTCATTCTTAGAAGATCAGGTTAATATGGAATACAAATAACATTTTCCATTTTTATTAATGATAGAACATGCTTACATTTGCACTTTCTAAATTCTGCTAAAGAACTTACATACAAATAAACAGTAGTACTATGGCTTGAGGAAACTAATATATTTTAAAAAAATAAAGTATGATTTTAATAGAAATAGAACTTTAAAAACATTTAGTAAAAATAAAAGGCATGTGCAGACTAATATTTAAGTCAGTTATTTAACATAACAAGATAGAATTATCCACGTACTCCAAAAAGTAATACAGAACCAGGGCTCAAATCTCAGCAAGTTACATAATTCTGGGCATATTACCTAAATGCTCTGAGCATCCCTTTTTCACAGGTACAAAGAAACCCATACCACCTACCTTTAAAGGGTTGTTGTGGTAAATGATTACTGGAGACTGACATACAGTGCACAGCAAATGGGAGATGGCTAATAAATGATAAATATTATTACTGTATCACTTGATGCCACTGTAACACTTCTACAGACTTCAATGCCATACCTCTGTCGAAACATCATAGCTGGGTCCATGTTAGCAGAAGTCATTCGAACAACTTGACGGATTTCCTTGGCAATCATTCTTAGCTTCTCAAAATTCACTAAACCATCTACTTTGGAGTCATTCCCTACGGAATAAAACCAACTTTTTCATTTTCAAAATTAAAATGCCCATATGAAGGTAGGAAAAGTCAAGTTATTCTGGGGGCACAAATCAGAACCGTCTTTATGAAACTGCCACTTCTGTTTTGAACCGATAAAAGCATGTCTGGTTCAACTATGCTCCCAGGGAATGAGCTAACTAGGAGGAATTCTATTCCTATGGGAGTGATTACAAGTACTGGAAGTTGATAAGCTACATAGCTTCTAAACCAATTTCACTATGTTAAAGGCACATCTATAAAATGTGTGGCTCCTGAAATCTTACTGTCTAGATGCTCAGCCCACTCTATCAGGTACCTGTATCTGCTCTTTTGGACAGCAGGGTATAGCACTTGAAAACTTAGGCTTTAGCCAGAGGTCACAAAGAGTGACCTATGGGCTTAATTAACCCGGTAAGTTTTCTTTGGTTTAAAATCTTTTAAGGGGTGCCTAGCTGGCTCAGTCAGTTATGTGTCTCACTTTGGCTCAGGTCATGATCTCACAGATTTTGAGTTTGAGCCCCTCATCAGGCTCTCTGTTCTCAGTACAGAGTCAGCTCTCTCCCTGTCTCTCTCTGCCCCTCCCCTGCTTGTGCTTTCTCTCTGTCCCTCTCAAAAGAAATGAATAAACTCAGAAACATTATAATATCTCCCAAAGTTTGAAAACTGAACAATACCTTTTGAAATAATGCATAGGTCAGACAAAATCAAGAAAAAAAATAAAAATAAAATACTTAAAAAAAGTGTTAAATGAATTGTCAACATTTAACAAATGGAATATATCCCATGAAAACCTCTGACTGCTTTTAAAAAGGGAGGGTTCTAGTGGGGGACTAAGTAAGAGTAGATCTGTTTTCCCAAATGGCAATTATTAGTTAAATTAAGGTGACTGGCTCATAGAGTAAACACTTTCTCGTCTGCCATTCATCTTTTCTTTCCGAAATCTGCATTTACATTTGTGCTAGCTCTTAAGTTCCATAACTTTTATTTGTTCTAATCAGTAGGGCTCTGAGGAAAAATTCACACAACTTTCAAAATGATCTACTTTTCTTTGAAGAGGATAGCTAGGAGATCAGACTTAGCCCATTTGATGGCTTACCAAGTTCAGACTACAAGGTAAAAACTGTATGTTTAAAAGGCAATGTGATGGTCTATAGTAGTGTTTCTTTTTCACACCTGTCTTTTATAGTTTCTGTGACCCCATTTATCTACTCTGGTAGCCTGTGAGATGCCTCTGTGGAACTCTAAGTTCCTAATGGCAAGTCTGAGAACCTAATGCGTCTGAAACATAGAGTGGGGTCTGCTTTCTCATGGTAAAGAGCATCTATACAATGAACATATGAGTTGTTCAGGGTCTCAACATGTGAGCTAGTAACAAAATAATCACCAAAAATACTTCCAAGTCACTAGGGGCGCCTGGGTGGCTCAGCTGGTGGAGCGTCTGACTTCGGCTGAAGTCATGATCTCACTGTTCGTGGGTTCGAGCCCCGCATGGGGCTCTGCACTGAAAGCTCAGAGCCTAGAGTCTGTTTCGGATTCTGTGTCTACCTCTCTCTCTGCCCCTCCCTCACTCATGCTGTCTCAAAAATAAATAAACATTAAAAAAAAACAAAAACAAAAACAAAACCTTCCAAGTCACATAAACATGTCTTGAGGGAACAAGTCAGAAAAATATATTTGAAGCCTATCAGAGTATTTTCTTATGAAAAAGGAGTGATAGAGAGGAAGCATTAAGACTAATTAGAACAACCCTCCTGCTGAGAATAATTAGAAAATTTGAGCAAAAATAGAAAAAACAAGTATTTTAAGGCAATAAAAAGCTATCAAGGAAGTGAAGATTTGGAAGAAGAATGAAAGATCTGGGAAAGGTTTACCCATTTCCCAGTGCCTGACCCTAGAGGCATCTACTGATTCAGAAAAGGGGATGATGAGCTTAAAAAACTAAGTAGTGACACCCTGACTTCTTAGGTTAGAGGAAAACACCTTAGGTCCTGGTAAACCTCCAGTGCTTTGGGTTGGGATCCTGAAGGGCTATCCTGGGACTACGATGAACTAGTTGTGACCAGGATAAAAGTTTAGTGTTAAAATATCTTCAAAATGTAAAAATGGATTAAGGTGATCTTGCACTGCTAGCTTACCTAGCTGCCTGGCAAAAGCAAGTTTTATTTCTTTCTGGAGGAATGGAACATCATCTGAAACCTCAAATTATTTTTGTAATCTTTTATACACAACATCCATTTGATCAGAAGTAACTAGAGACGTCAGGAGAAGAGATGACAAATGAAAACAGGAGACAAAGACAACAGAAAAGGACCCACAAAGGATGGAGTTATTAGACAAAGACTTTAACTAAGCTGGATATGTGCAAAGATGTAGAAAACAACACTAAGAACTTTAGCAGAGAACACAGAGATAAAAAAAAATTTAAGTTGTAAACCTGACAAAACACAATAACTGGCTAGGAACTCACTGATATATTTAAGAGTAAATTATACATAGTTCAAGAACTGATAAACTGGACAGTAAGTTGGAAGAAAATATCCAGAATGAAGCATGGTTAGACAAAAAGATGAGAAATGGAGAAAAGAGGGTATGAGACAATAGAGGCAGTCATCATGTCTAAGACAGGCGAAATCAAAATCCCTAAAATAGAGGTCAAAAGAGGGTAGGTAAGAAATCTGAAGACAAAATGAATGAGAATTTTTCCAAAACTGATGAAAAATACCAAAACATAGGTTTCAAGGTATCTTATAAACAAATCAGGACTAAAACAAGCAAATGCCACACCTAGCTACATCATAGCAAAACTACAGGGGAAAAAAAAAAAAAGAGAGACCAAGAGAAGAGACAATTACAAAGCAGCTATTGGAAGAAAGGCGGAATATAATCACAGGAACAGCAAATAAGACTGACAAATGACTTCTCAGTATCAACAATAAAAGCCAGGACACAATGAAATGGTCTTTTAAAATGTTTAGACCACTGCGAACCAAAATTATGCCTTAAAAATGAATATGAAGTATAGATATTTTTAGATAAATGAAATTAGGATATTTCATCACCAGCAGACTTGTACTTAAATAAACAATAAATAGGGGCGCCTGGGTGGCGCAGTCGGTTAAGCGTCCAACTTCAGCCAGGTCACGATCTCGCGGTCCGTGAGTTCGAGCCCCGCGTCAGGCTCTGGGCTGATGGCTCAGAGCCTGGAGCCTGTTTCCGATTCTGTGTCTCCCTCTCTCTCTGCCCCTCCCCCATTCATGCTCTGTCTCTCTCTGTCCCAAAAATAAATAAACGTTGAAAAAAAAAAATTAAAAAAAAAAAATTAAAAAAAAAAAGAAAAAAGAAAAAAAATAAATAAACAATAAATAGTATTCTATAGGAAGAAAAAAAAAAAAAACCCAACCACATGGAAGCTTTGAAAACAGAGGAATAAAAACAGTAACATCATCTAGAAAAAGATAAATACTGACTTCTCTAAATGATAAGATCACATAGAAGTTAAAGGCATGACAAGCGCATATAAACTGGTAGGTGAGTAAATGGAATTCAAGTACTCTAAATTCCTTGCACTGCCCAATACAGAGAAAAGTACTAATGAATACTAACCTAATTAATATCAAATAATTAAGTATAAATATAATGCCTAGGGTAACACTAGAAAAATAGTAAAACAGTGTATAGTTAGCCAGTTACCAGACTATAATAAATACCATATACAAAAATTAATTCAGGGAGACTGGAAGTGAAACATGCTAAAAGATCCATATGCTAGTCTTTTAAAACTAAGAACGTGCTGTGTATTAAAAGATAACCTTAAGAGATTCAAAAGGCAAATCATATTACACCCAGGATTTATAAGAAATTCTTAAAAATGCATTAAATAAGCAACAACCTAATAAACGAATGAATTTACCAGGTGTTGGTGAGGAACACTAACTCTAGCACCACTGCCAGTGTTGCACTTTTGCTAGACAATGCCAAACTGTTTTCTAAAGTTGATTATATGAATATCACATCCATAATAAAATCCACTATGAACAGTATTAATATTCAAAGCAGCATTATCCATAATAGGTGAACAGTGGAAAACTATAAAATGCTTATCAGGAGGATGGATAAATCCACTGTATTGCTTTCAGGTAATGGAATACTAGTTGTGAAAATGAAATACAGCTACACTCAAAAAACATGGGAAAATCTCATAAATCTAATATTGACTAAAATAAGCCAGAAACCAAACCAAACCAAAATGCAAGAAAACAAATATACTATGTGATTCCATTTATATAAAGTTCAGCAACAGATAAAACTAAACCACAGTATTAGAAGTCAGGACAGTCATTGCTTTTGAGGAAGAGAATGAGGACGGTTATTAGAGAGGGGCATCAATAGGGCTCCTGCAAGGCTAGCAACATTTTATTTTTGACCTGTGAGTTGATTACATGGGAGTTTGCTCTGTTGTAATTCATTTAGTTATTCTCTTGTTATGGTCACTTTACTGTATTGAATGTGTTGAATAATTCAATTAAAAAAAGTTTGGAAGGAAAATTATTAGTGAACAAAATAAAAAATATGAACAAACAATCTGATGTGGGTGTAAGTCAAATTTAAGTTTGAATGCAGAGGGAAAACACTTAAATTTGTTTTTGTCAATAATGTGGGTTTTGATTTCTAAAATTTGTTACATTTAATTAGGTAAAGCTTTTGTGATATAAAAGGCTGAAAAATATAATACATCACAATTCTGTGGAATTTGCTGAAGCTAAACACACTAATTTTCAAGTAACTTTTAAATACCTTCATGTAGAAATGTCATATCTTTCTTGACAACAGGGAAGAGTGGAATAATTGGAGGCTGCATGCTTTGACTACTAAGAATATTTCTATATTTTGCCATGTTTCTAGATGGATCAAAAAGGTCTTGTAGATCCTGGAGGTGTTTCTCATACTTGCTTGGTAATTTTTCCCAAGTACCTCTGAGTCGTGCTACAGATGCCAGGTTCAAGCCACTGCCAAAGATGAGAATAAAAACATTAATAAGGGACTTGAATAAGGGAGAAGACTCAGGGCAGTAAATCTTATACAACAAATTTCTCTAATAAAGATAAAATAAATAGGGACATATTTCTAATGTGTTGAAATGAAGAGACCAAAACCATGGGAAAAAAAATAATAAAAGGGCTCTCTGATGTTACAATCAGGAAAATTTATACCAGAAGAACTACATTACTTGCGTATAGTTGTAGACTGTAGCCTTTATTTTACAGCTTGCATGTATTGACACATAGTATTTCCATAAAATAGACACTTAAATATAAAAAAAAAAACCTTCAAATATCACAAAGTTTTCTTTGCTTTATTTAGAAAATAACTTTATGAAGACACTGTCTATTGTGAAAGTGGTTTAAGTAATGCTGGACACAATTGCTATAATAACTGAGGCAAGTTCTAGAGCTGAGGCAGCCTTCTTTCCAAGGTTTTGTTCTCTCATGTCCCTGATTCAAATACTTCCCTATCTCTAGGTTCTAATCCTGTCCCCCAAGGCGTCCACATATTCAATGTCTTCTTCTGACAGGATTTTAAGCTCAGATAGCCCTCCTTTGAAAAACATGCCCATTCGCTCCTCTCTATCCCTTTATGTCTATACTACCATCAGGCAGGTAGGCTGCCACATGAATCCTGCATATATAATGCTTCAATTATCTAACCAGTTAACCCCTCTTTTATTCCCAGGCACCTGACTTTTATGCACACCACTGTACTTAAAATGTTTTCTTGACTTCTGATTTTAAGGTGCGGAGTTAAGATATCTTTGTTCCCTTTGCCTCTCAGAAATCATCCCAAGAAACTCTATGGATCAATAACAGAAATGCAAATTTCATCTTCACAGAAACTAAGATATCTGTAACTCCTAAACACATTAAAAGGTTGCCAATAAACAGTTAAGATTAAACAGGAGAATGCCAAATGCTGAAAAAGAATGGGCATGGTTAAAGATCTCAATGCAAGCTGGTGAAGTTCTCCGAAGTGGCTACCTCACCCTAAAGGCAAGAACAGCAAATATCCTATTGGAGACAACACAACAGAATCCATAGGATGACAGAATTAGGTGGGGGCTTGACTGTGATCTTTACCAGGGAATGCCAGGTTAAGTACACAGAGTGAGATAATATCTTCATGAGACAATATCTTAATACCTTTAACAGTGAGACAGGACAGAAGGTAGAAATTCTGAGCGGTAAGCAGCCCCAAAGCTGCCCATCTCCACGTAGTGGAAGGAAGGAAGGAAGGAAGGAAGGAAGGAAGGAAGGAAGGAAGGAAGGAAGGGAGGGAGGGAGGGAGGGAGGGAGGGAGGGAACAATTCACATTCAAGCTCAATTCCTGCTAGCCTGAAATAATGCCCTGGATCCTCTCCCACATGAACCTCCTGCAAATAGTTGGTACAGGAAAACTAACAAAGAATACAAGTAAGAAAAATGTTGCCACCAATCAAATAAAAATCAATGACCTAGCCATGATTTCAAATGAATAAAGTAAACAGCTTAATGGAGTGATATAAAGAGCTTAGAGAAAATATGGTAAGAGAAGTTGATAAAAAAAAACAAAACAAAAAACTAGTCGAGTTCAGAAAAGAAATGAAAGAAATATAAAAACCAACACCGAAATGAAGGCCATATTGGAACGTACTAAAGAAAAAAAAAAGACCGTGCACAAGTTGTGTTAAGGATCAACAAAAGCAATCAGTGGAAGCAATCAGCAATCAATGGAAATTCTATTTCTCTAGAGAGAAAATAATGGATATGGAAGAGAATGGAGATCTAAAATGTGCAATAACTGCTATCTTTGGAAGAAGGAAACAAAAATAATGGAACTGAAAAAATATTCAAAGGTATAACCTGAGAAAACTACAGAAACAAATCAGGCACTACAGACTGAACAGGCACCACAGTCCCAGAGAACCAGATACAGAACTAAAAGAGAGGTAGAAACACAGATGTAAAGGTAAAGGACATCAGAGACAAGGACAGAACATGGGGAGAAATCTCAGAGATTTGAACAGCTACATAAAATGCTAGTTATGAAGCTATTGTCTATGACATTACCAGGAAATAACACGTGAGACAAGAATTTTAAAGCCACAATGTGATGGACGTTCAAAGACAACAGGAAGACACTTTGAATATATTCAGCAAATACAATTTCTACAAGACCTTTATAAAATGACTAGAAAGCAAACTTCAACCAAGATTTGATTACAGAGAGTGATGTCTGAATCATGACAGCGTAAGATATCCCTTGTTTTATCCCTCCAACCAAACAAAAAAAGTCTAGCATCTACTCATGAATAACACTGCGTGTGTGGAACCCGGCATCATTTGCCAAGGGGGCTCGGGAAAGCCTTGTTTACAAGTGTATTGGTAAGAGACCATCTTTAGTACTGTTTGTAGAACCTATAGGAGGTTACGAAGTGGTTTGTGCCCCCCTTGCCTGTAGTCTGGGAGTGCCTGCAGAACAAGAACTCAGTCACCTAAAGAAGAGAGAGAGACTTTGTGGAAGTCCAGGTTTCCAGAAGAGAAGTTCCAGTACTCAGCTGGAGTAAAACAAAATAAAAAAACAAAAAGGTTTGGATGCATTCAAGTAGGTAAAGAGAAGAGCTTGATTTTGCTGGCATCATCTCTTCTCCAAAGCAGCAGTTGAAAGGTAACTAGATAGCTGGTGATATTTCCCAGAGGAGAGAGGGAGAGCTGGTGAGTACATGCCTGGTTTTCCTAATTGTGTAGGATGCTGTCAAAGACACTCATTTTATTCTTGGAAGATCCAGACCCAGAACATCCATTAAAGTGGGAGCTCCATGACTAGGGGGAGGGAGCAGAGATCTGGAGAGCAGCATTTAAGATTCCTGGATAATTTGTAAATGAACACAGGATCTAAGAAGGCAAACTGTTGACATTAAAAACATAAAAGGTGGGGAGTAAAAGGGTTTTGCTTATGATTGAAGTTAGTATCAGCATGAAATAAACTGTTATGTTTCATGTAGATCTCATGGTAACCAAAAAGCAAACACCTATAATATAGACTCATGGGAAGACAAAGAAAAGGATATTAGAGCATATCAGCACAGAAGATCATCAATTCACAAAAGAACACAGCAAGGGAGTAAAAAAGAAAGACAAAACAGGGAGAAAATAATAAAATGGCAGTAGTAAAAGCCCACATGTATCAGGAATCATTCTAAGTGTAAATGGACTTTGTATCTTTTTCAATTTCCTTCATAAGCTTTCTACAGTTTTCAGCATACAGATCTTTCACATCTTTGGTTAGGTTTATTACTAGGTGTTTTATGATTCTTGGCGCAACTGTGAATGGGACCAGTTTATTTGTCTTTCTGTTGCTTCATTATTAGTGTATAAGAATGCACCTGATTTCTGTACATTAATTTTGTACCCTGCGACTTTGCTGAATTCATTATCAGTTGTAGCAGACTTTTGGTGGAATCTATTGGGTTTTCCATGTATAGTATCATGTCATATGCAAAAAGTGAAAGGTTGACTTCATCTTTGCCAATTTTGATGCCTTTCATTTCCTTTTGTTGTCTGATTGCTGATGCGAGAACTTCCAACACTATGTTAAACAACAGCGGTGAGAGTACACATCCCTGTCATGTTCCTGATCTCAGGGGGAAAGCTCTCGGTTTTTCCCCATTGAGGATATTATCTGTGGGCTTTTCATAAATGGCTTTTATGATGCTTAAGTATGTTCCTTCTGTTCCGACTTTCTCGAGGGTTTTTATTAAGAAAGGGTGCTGAATATTGTCAAATGCTTTTTCGGTATTGGTTGACAGGATCCTATGGTTCTTTTCTTTTATTAACGTGATGTATCACACTGATTGGTTTGTGAATGTTGAACCAGCCCTGCAGCTCAGGAATGCATCCCACTGGATCATGGTGAATAATTCTTTTTATATGCTGTTGAATTCAATTTGCTAGTATCTTATTGAGAATTTGTGCATCCATATTCATCAGGGATATTGGCCTGTAGTTCTCTTTTTTTGTTGGGTCTCTGTCTGGTTTGGGAACCAAAGTATTGCTGGCTTCATAGATTGAGTCTGGAAGTTTGCCTTCCCTTTCTATTTTTTGGAACAGCTTGGGAAGGATAGGTATTATCTCTGCTCTAAATGTCTGGTAGAATTCCCCTGGGAAGCCATCTGGTCCTAGACTCTTATCTGTTGGGAGATTTTTGATAACTGATTCAATTTCTTCACTGGTTAAGGGTCTGTTCAAATTTTCTATTTCTTCCTGTTTGAGTTTTGGAAGTGTGTGGAATTTGTCCATTTCTTCCAGGTTGTCCAGTTTGTTGGCATATAATTTTTCATGGTATTCCCTGATAATTGCTTGTATTTCTGAGGGATTGGTTGTAATAATTCCATTTTCATTCATGATTTTATCTATTTGGGTCCTCTCCCTTTTCTTTTTGAGAAGCCTAGCTAGAAGTTTATCAATTTTGTTTATTTTTTCAAAACCTACTCTTGGGTTTCATTGAACTGCTCTACAGTTTTTTTTTATATATTGTTTATTTCTGCTCTGATCTTTATTATTTCTCTTCTTCTGCTGGGTTTGGGGTGTCTTTGCTGTTCTGCTTCTATTTCCTTTAGGTGTGCTGTTAGATTTTGTATTTGGGATTTTTCGTGTTTCTTGAGATAGGCGTGGATTGCAATGTATTTTCCTCTCAGGACTGCCTTTGCTGCATCCCAAACCGTTTGGATTGTTGTATTTTCATTTTCGTTTGTTTCCATATATTTTTTAATTTCTTCTCTAAGTGCCTGGTTGACCCATTCATTCTTTAGTAGGGTGTTCTTTAACTCCCATGCTTTTGGAGGTATTCCAGACTGTTTCCTGTGGTTGATTTCAAGTTTCACAGCATTGTGGTCTGAAAGTGTGCATGGTATGATCTCAATTCTTTTATACTTATGAAGGGCTGTTTTGGGACCCAGTATGTGATCTATCTTGGAGAATGTTCCATGTGCACTCGAGAAGAAAGTATATTCTGTTGCTTTGGGATGCAGAGTTCTAAATATATCTGTCAAGTCCATCTGATCCAATGTATCATTCAGGGCCCTTGTTTCTTTATTGATTCTGTGTCTAGATTATCTATCTATTGCTCTAAGTGGGGTATTAAAGTCCCCTGCAATTACCACATTCTTATCAATAAGGTCGCTTATGTTTGTGATTGTTTTATATATTTGGCAGCTCCTGTATTTGGCACATAGACATTTATAATTGTTACCTCTTCATGATGGATAGACCCTGTAATTATTATATAATGCCCTTCTTCATCTCTTGTTACAGCCTTTAAAGTCTAGTTTGTCTGATATAAGTATGGCTACTCCAGCTTTATTTTGACTTCCAGTAGCATGATAGATAGTTCTCCATCATTCCATGCTCATGGATTGGAAAAATAACATTGTTTAAAATGTCAATACTATCCAAAGCAATCGACACATTCAATACAATCCCAATCAAAATTGCACCAGCATTCTTCTCGAAGCTAGAACAAGCAATCCTAAAATTTGTATGGAACCACAAAAGACCCCGAATAGTCAAAGTAATATTAAAGACGACGACCAAAGTGGGAGGTATCACAATCCCAGATTTTAGCCTCTACTACAAAGCTGTAATCATCAAGACAGCATGGTATTGGCACAAAAACAGACACATAGACCAATGGAATAGGACAGAGACTCCAAAACTGGACCCACAGAAGTATGGCCAACTAATCTTTGACAAAGCAGGAAAAGTATCCAATGGAAAAAAAAGACAGTGTCTTTAACAAATGGTGCTGGGAGAACTGGACAGCAACATGCAGAAAAATGAAACCAGACCACTTTCTTACACCATCACAAAAATAAACTCAAAATGGATGAAGGATGAATGGGCGACAGGAAACCATCAAAACCCTAGAGGAGAAAGCAGGAAAAAAACCTCTCTGACCTGAGCTGCATCAATTTCTTACTTGACACATCTCCAAAGGCAAGGGAATTAAAAGCAAAAATGAACTACTGGGACCTCATGAAGATAAAAAGCTTCTGCACTGCAAAGGAAACAATCAACAAAACTAAAAGGCAACCAACGGAATGGGAAAAGATATTTGCAAATGACATATCGGACAAAGGGCTAGTTTCCAAAATCTATAAAGAACTCACCAAACTCCACACCCGAAAAACAAATAATCCAGTGAAGAAATGGGCAGAAACATGAACAGACAATTCTCTAAGTAAGACATCCAGATGGCCAACAGGCACATGAAAAGATGCTCAACGTCACTCCTCATCAGGGAAATACAAATCATCAAAATCACACTGAGATATCATCTCACGCCAGTCAGAGTGGCTAAAACGAACAAATCGGGCGACTATAGATGATGGAGAGGATGTGGAGAAATGGGAACCCTCTTGCATTGGTGGGAATACAAACTGGTGCAGCCGCTCTGGAAAACGGTGTGGAGGTCCCTCAAAAAATTAAAAATAGATCTACTCTGTGACCCAGCAATAGCACTGCTAGGAATTTACCCAAAGGATACGGGAGTGCTGATGACTAGGGGCACTTGTACCCCAATGTTTATGGCAGCACTTTCAACAATAGCCAAATCATGGAAAGAGCCTAAATGTCCATCAACTGATGAATGGATAAAGAAGTTGTGGTTTATATATACAATGGAATACTACTTGGCAATGAGAAAGAATGAAATATGGCCTTTTGTAGCAACGTGCATGGAACTGGAGAGTGTTATGCTAAGTGAAAAAAGTTATACAGAGAAAGACAGATACCATATGTTTTCTCTCTTATGTGGATCCTGAGAAACTTAACAGAAGACCATGGGGGAGGGGGAGGGGATAAAAAAGTTAAGAGAGGGAGGGAGGCAAACCATAAGAGACTCTTAAAAACAGAATAAACTTGAGGGTTGATGGGGGGTGGGAGGGGAAAGTGGGTGATGGGCACTGAGGAGGGCACCTGCTGGGATGAGCACTGGGTGTTGTATGGAAACCAATTCGGCAATAAATTTCATATTAAAAATAAATAAACATTAAAAAATTAAAAAAAATAAAAAAATTAAAAATAAATAAACATTAAAAAATTAAAAAAAATAAGACACTATGACTTCATCTAAAAAAAAAAAATAAATGTAAATGGATTGAAATTTTCCCACCAAATGGGTGGAAGAATAAAAAAGCAAGACCCAACTATATGCTGCCTACAAAAGACTCACTTTAGCTTAAAGGACACACATAAGCTGGAAATCAAACTGTGGAAAAGACAGTCCATGCAAGTGGAAACCAAGTGAGAGCAGGGTAGCTATATTTGTATCAGATAAAAAGGACTTTAAATCAAAAATGGTAACAAGAGACAGGGTCATTACATAATGATAAAGGGTCAACTCATCAAGAAAACATCAAAGTCATTAATATACATGCACCCAACATTTCAGCACCTAACTATATTAAGCAAACAGTAACAGACCTGAAGTAGCAACAAGCGGCAATATACTAGTATGGGACTTCAATACCCCACTTGCAGGAATGGATGAATTACCTAGACAGAAAATCAATAAAGAAATGGGACTTGAACCACACCTTAGGCTGAATGGACCTAACAAATACACACTGGACAGGTCTTTCACCATTAGCAGAATATTCACTCTTCTCAAGCATGAACGGAACATTCTCCAGGAGAGATTAGAAACTAAACCTCAAAAGTCTTAGCAAATTTAAGAAGACTGAAATCATGCTAAATATTTGTTTCTGCCCATAATGGTCTAAAACTAGGAATTAAGAAGAGGAAAATGTGAAAATCTACCAATGGGTAGAAATTAAACAACATAACCGTGAATGGGTCAAAAAAACCAAAAGGGAAATAAGTATCTCTCAAAAAGGAAAATGGAGACACAACATACCAAAACCACTGGGATGCTGCAAAAACGATTTCCAAGACAGAAGTTTAGTGATAACTTTCTATAGTAAGTAAGATCTCCAATAAATTATCTAACTTTTCACATCAAAGAGCTAGAAAAAGAAACTTAGCCCAAAGTTAGGAAAAGGAAGGGAATAACAAATATCACAGCAGAAATAGAGGCCAAAAAATAAAAATAAAAAAGCAATGAAACGATAAACAAAACTGACAAACTCTTAGCAAAACTAAGAAAAAGAACTCAAATAAATAAAATATAGTATCTAATAGCAGGAAGAACTGGTTGGTTCACCTGTGTCACCTCTGCTGGAAAGTTGGTATGTGCTTTATCTTGTCTGATACAATTAAACATAAAATAGGAGGAACAAAGCAATTAATTTTTCAGGAACTACTGAAAATGTGTAATGTGTATAATAAAACGCTCTTTAAAACAAAACAAACCTCTTAACCAAATACCCATTTTGGGGCTACTGTTCACCACCTTCTCTTGAATCATTCTTTCCTTGGCTTTAGTGACACGATCATCACTGTGCTGGTGTATTATTTCTTTTATTCATCCTCTATCTCTTGGTTGGACTCTCTTCTTCACCCCAACATTCAGGATGGTCACTAGTTATGACTCTTAAGCCATTTACCTTTTATGCTCTCTTGTTACACAGAAATCCTCTTGGTGTCAGTTTTATTCACACTACTCCAAAACTAAGCCTGTCCCTACACAGTTTCAATTTCTAACCTTCGAAGTACTTATCAATGGCATTTTTGTTCCCTTTAGACTCAGCTGTTAAAAACTGTCAGTATGAAGTGTGATTCCTGCATTTTACAGATGAAAAACAAAAAACAAAACAAAACAAAACAAAAAATGGTCTTCAATTTTCTACTGACACATTGCTACTACACCACAGACGCAGGACTCTGACACAAGTGCAGCTGATTCTAAAGGTCACTGCTAAACTCTGTTCCATACTCCTCCTAAAAAAAAGAAACAAACAAAAAACACCCCCGCCCCAACCCAAAACTCCTCCTAAAGCATCTAATTAAAGTGTATCCAGTGGTTAACTTCATAAAGGACTTTTTTATTACCATGACAGATTTATGATTATAAAGATTCTGATTCTATCTCATGTGAGGGTAGGAACAAGCCATAATTAAATTCTGGGCGGGGGGGGGGGGGGGGGGGGGGGGGGGGGGTGCAGCGTGGCATACATAGTTGGGATTAAGATGTAATTATGCTGCTATATGTAAGCACGTGGCCTCATAAATGCACAAAACTGCAACTACCCTCCCTATTTAAAATTACACTTCCTTTGAGAGGAATCCCTCTAATGATCAGCACTATACTATAGGGGAGGGTCAGAAGATAAATTATCAATCTCAGCCAAACCTAGTGAGTCAGGGGAAGAAGACTCCCAGCTCATATAACCATCCACACTTTCTGGGCTTTTATAAACCAAATTTTTGTAATTCTAATTCTAATGCCTACCTTGTTTGGACAACAACACATCCAGTGATAGGTGAGGCAGTACCTGATGAATGAGCTTACCAAATAGTTGCATTATTACTGTTGTTGTTGTTGTTTCAAAATAGCAATTTTAGATTAGAGTACTGATACCACACTATGATTTTTCAGTGCCAAATCACAGTGAGGTAGATAATGAAAGATGCACAGTACTGGAGTCTGATGATAAAGACCAACTGTTGGGCATATATCCAAAGAGAGTATGCCAAAGGGAGAGAAAGGAAGAAAAATGGCAAGGCAATCAACCTTATTCAGCCAAAAAAAAAAAAAAAGTTTAAATGAATGATGGAAGAAACAAAAAGCAAAAAACCACTATCACCAGAAGGGAAAACATATTAACTCTAACAATACTTTAAAAACCTGTTAATCGGACTTTTCTTCTCCTAGTCACTTAACACACAAGAAATTAGCTTCATATCTAATACAACAAAACTATACACAACTATTTGTACAAACTTACCTTATTATTGCAAACATGGAATTGAAGTTCTTACATTCTCTACAATGAAGTGCAATTTTAATAAAATGCTTAATAATCTTCATTCGTTTGAGCTGATTTGGTTCAGTTAAAATCTCTGAAGCAACCCAGAATGTCTCCTGGTTAACAATGTCCTCAAACTCTTTCAAGTGAGTATTTCCTGTTTTGGAATCTAACTTAAAAAGGTCATCGATGTATTCAGTAGGCTCAATATTACGAAACAAATCAAAGTCCCTCATTGATAGCTGAGTGGCCACCTCAATGGTACTGAGCTGCAGCATGGACAGTTGGCTTTCCTTAACTAGTTCTTGGGCATCTTCATCTGAACATAAAGTTTCTGTTTCCATGTTATTTTTTAAATAATACCTAAAAAAAAAATTGTTTTTATAAGTGATTTCACATTTATAAGAGCATCTTCCGTATCTAACTTGTCAAAATGTCATTATACGGTTAATAACATTTTGTCAAAAATATTAGCAGACTATTCATTTGTAGATGAAATGGAAAATTAACATTTTAAGTGTTCATTTATTTTTGAGAGAAAGATGGAGACAGAGAATCCCAAACAGGCTATGCGCTGTCAGCACAAGGCCCGAGGCAGGGCTCAAACACATGAACCATGAGATCATGACCTGAGCAGAAATGAAGAGTCAGATACTTAACCTACTGAGCTACTCAGGTGCCCCAGAAAATTAACATTTTAAATGAGAAAAATTTAAAGAGTAAAAATAATGTTGACAGTGCCGTGAACCTTATCATTTTACGCAACTACTCACAAAATGTGTCAATAACTGTGTATATATTCTTGAGGATGAAAGCTCTATAAGGCCTATATGAAGGTATCTGATGCATAGCAGGTACTATGTTAAGTATTTGTTCATGGACAGCATGAATAAACACCTGAATCTATTCAGAAGTTGTTCCTACGCTTATTTTCTTCTTCATTTCTGAATTCCCAAGAGGAGCAAAGAAGAGTAAAACCTGTAAAGGAGAGAAACCCTTGCACTAACATTTTCTCCCTTGTTAAATACAAAACCTCACTCCAGCAAATGGTACTGATCAGCAACCATAAAAAAGACCTTCATTTTCTTCTTTTTACATCAACAATTCTATAGCACTTAAAAGTTAAGAGACAAGCTTCACAGTTGGGAAATATCTTGCACAAGGCTGTTGCTGGGGACAAAGAGGTAACATGCTGTGTCACACGTCACTTTTACTTTATTCTTTTCTGGTATACAACTCGATCCAAGCCTAAGTTTATATCTCATCTATTTTTACAGTCAAGCAACTATACCTCTTTTTCTTCTTTTATACTGTTCACATGCCTAAAAGAATACTACAAATGTGTTGAGACCCATTACACTAGTTAATTATATCTAACATTTATAGGGTAGGTCAACTCATTAATTCTCTTAACATTCTTATGAGGTAGTTTCTGTTTATTATCATCCCCATATTTTTGATGAGAAAATTCAGGCAGAGAGAAACTAAATAACACCCTGGTCACACAGCCAGAACTAGAATTTACCCAGACTGCTGAGCACCCTGGCTCCAGGGTCTGTGCTCTTTAAGCACTATGTGTAGCTTAGCAAAGCAGAGTTAACCCACTCTTTTAACAGCATCCATGGCAGGCAATCTCTGTAAGGTTTCTAACGATTTTACTCTACATGTAAATCTAAGGTCACTAAAAAGAACATATTATTCTCAGAGAAAACCACCAGCATAAAGAATAAATGTACTATAGAAACAATCTTCTGGTTGATCAAATAATTTTCGGAGCTCATTTAAGAATTATGCCTTCTTTTGTCCCACGTAAATTTTAGTCACATTAAAAACAAATTTATAATTTAACACATATATTGTCAAATACATATAAAGATATGTATCACTTGGTTTCCTCTGTAAAAAATGGACTGGACTACATCAGTGGTTCTAAGACTATTTCAGCAGGAGGGCTAAAATAGCTTAGCAAATTGTCCTCTCTCTCCTCTCATTTTCAGGTAGTCTTTATGAGAGCTAACACTCTGAGATTCCATTTACATAATTATGGAGACAAGGAAGCTGAAAAAGAGAAATCCTACTTTAATTTTAGAGTGTGTTCAGTGGCCTTAAGACGTGATGTTTCTACTTAAAATGTCTGTTTTTACACATGATCTTCAAAAACACATCTAGATAAAGGGGGATTAAGAGATTTAAAAACTTCCAGTTATGTAATAAATAGCTCATGGAGATAAACACACAGCAGAGGAAATATAGCCAATAACAGGCTGACAACATTGTCCGGTGACTACACTCATCGTGGAGAACACTGAACACTGTACACAACTGTCAAACATGCTGTACACCTTAAACTAAGGCTAATTATATAACTGTAATAAATATAAAATAAATAAATGTAATAAATAAATATAACTGTAGGCTAATTATAGTTCATTAAAAAAAAGAAACACATCTAGAAACAAAATACATTCACTAATAAGCACATTCACCTTCCATTGAGCTGAATTCTATCAGCTAATTTGGAGAACTGGTCCGGAAGTCTTCTCTGTTTTATGACACCCTCAGGAGTAACAGAAACTTCACAGAGAGAATATGTGTCAGATGCACCAGTCAAACCAAATTCATGAACAGCATGACAAACAACTTCTTTAGCTGTAGTGTCTTTACTGATGATAATGTAGCAACTTTGTTGATCTGCTTTGAAAACTCTTATAACTTGATCAGGAATATCTACATGAATACAAAAGTGTGCCTTGTTATTTTCAAGACAATTAAACTCTTCAAAAAGCAATTCAGAACAAAAAGCTCCCTCTGAACAGTGATACATACATTTCTATTCTAGGAAGTTAACAGAAATCACTGTTGCATTTATTGATAAATGAATGTATCAGCCTTCTCAGGTGATGAAATACTAATATATGTTCACAGAAAAACACATACAAAATAATAAGCTGTTTTTAATGGAGGCATAGGACTCCTTAAGATATATTTATGTTTTAAAAAATGTTTACTGGGCGCCTGGGTGGCTCAGTCGGTTAAGCGGCTGACTTCAGCTCAGGTCACGATCTTGCGGTCCGTGAGTTCGAGCCCCGCGTCGGGCTCTGGGCTGATGGCTCAGAGCCTGGAGCCTGCTTCCGATTCTGTGTCTCCCTCTCTCTCTGCCCCTCCCCCGTTCATGCTCTGTCTCTGTCTCAAAAATAAATAAACGTTAAAAAAAATTAAAAAAAAAATTCTCTTCTAAAAAATGTTTACTTATTTTTGAGAGAGAGAGAGAGTGATCGTGTGCATTTGTGTGAGCAGGAGAAGGGTAGAGAGGTGGGTAGAGAGAGTGAATTCCAGGCAGGCTCTGTGCTATCAGTGCAAAGCTTGATACAGAATGTGAACTCATGAACCGTGAGATCAAGAGTCAGATGCTTTAACCCAATGAGCCACCCAGGCAACCCCATAATATGTATTTTATATTTTTACACCATACAAACCTTTAATGACAAACATTAGGTTGCATATCTTTTATAATGACATTATGATGAATAATACCCCCCGCCCCTTCCCTAGTAGATAAACCTTTGCAGGCAATCTGATTATTTCCTCAAAGAAAATCCAAAAAGGGTGGGGGATGGGGGAGGAGACGAAGAAGAGAGAGAGAGAATTGCTGAATTCAAGGAAGGACATGCTTATTTTTAAGGTTTTTGAAATACAGTGCCAAAGTGTTCTCCAAAAAGGCTATAATATTTTATCATCCTGGAATATAAAGAGAACAATTTTAGTTACATTCTTAGTATTCCTTCTTTTTTTTTTAAAAAAAATTTTTTTTTTCAACGTTTATTTATTTTGGGGACAGAGAGAGACAGAGCATGAACGGGGGAGGGGCAGAGAGAGAGGAAGACACAGAATCGGAAACAGGCTCCAGGCTCTGAGCCATCAGCCCAGAGCCTGACGCGGGGCTCGAACTCACGGACCGCGAGATCGTGACCTGGCTGAAGTCGGACGCTTAACCGACTGCGCCACCCAGGCGCCCCAGTATTCCTTCTTTTTAAAAATACTTTTTGGTATTCTTTATGCTCTTTCTTACTGAATTTATGCCAATACTAGATAACAATGCTCAGTCTACTATAAAGTGGCACATGTTTTCCTATTTTCATATTTAACAGGAAATTTAAAATATTCATGCGGTTAAATCTCAAACTGTCATTTCTTTTTAATTTTTTGATTTTTGAGACAAGAAGAAAGAGAGGACAAGTGGGTGAAATGGGTAGGAGGAGAAAGAGAATCTCAAGCAGGAGCCATGCTCAGCGCAGAGCCCAAGAAATGACTCACTCCCATGACTCTGGGATCATGACCTGAACTGAAATCAACAGACACTCAACCGACTGAGCCACAAAGGCACCCCTTTACCTTTGTGATTTCTGCTATCAGCAGATAAATCTTACCTCAAGATAAATGTTCATATGATATGCACAAATAAGTAATGATATTATCCTCCTCATTCTACCTTATTTTAAAAAATTTTTGTTACACAGCACTGGCCAAAAACTTCCAAGACCATGTTCAATATGATGACCCCGGGCTACTTTTTAATATAATTCAGTGTAAGTAAAAAGTGATTTGACAGCATGAACACATGGTGTATTTTCCCCTAATATTACCGAATATTGATTATAAACATAAATAATCTGAAAATTAATCATTAATATTTCCCAATTTCCTAAAATTATTGTTACAAAATTGTTTAAAAATTTTTTTCCTAATATTCATTTTTGAAAGAGAGAGAGAGAGACAGAGTGTGAGTGGGGGAGGGGCAGACACAGAGGGAGACACAGAATCTGAAGCAGGCTCCAGGTTCTGAGCTGTGAGCAGAGAGCCCGATGTGGGGCTCAAACTCACAAACTGTGAGATCATGACCTGAGCTGAAGTCGGCGCTTAACCAACTGAGCAAACCAGGTACCCCAAAATTGTCTTTTTTTTTCTTAAGAAAAATACATTATTTGTGGGGTTTTTTTTGGTAATGACTGTAACTGGGTTGAGCGAGTTTGGTGGCTCAAGTAGATATGGTTTCTCTAGCACTATCTTATTGCATTATTAACTCTAAGAGATAAAGAAAACTTAACAAATTTGTCTTAAGGCCATCTGAAGTATACTTCTGTTTAAAGGGAAGAAAAGAGTAATTAAAGAGATGCGGCAGAAAATAATTTCACAGAATAAGGTAACATTCTGAGGCTAATGGCACAAAAAGAGAGATTTCCATGACCGACTGGAAGATTCAACTGAACATATATGCATACAATTCCAGGAAAAAGGAGTCCTAAATGTTCTGGGTCTACTGCCAAGTTGGAAGCAGAAAGCTTCATATATTCAGTCAAGTCTCTTTTATAAGATAGATGCAACAAACTGCCTTTCTTGATGTATGCAAATATATGAGTCACCAAAAGCCTCTTGTTCATTATTTCTTTGCAATAAGACAATCCTTCAGGTGTTGCTGACATCGGGTTTGTAAACCTACAAGGCTTAAGGTTAGAGTGTTTTATGATCCACCCAAATTGAGATGCTTCTCTACCCGTGGCTAGAAAATATTTTCAAGTAGATGGAAACTGCAGTTTGCTAAGAGAAAGACAGTGAACAAAAGGGTTTCATTATCCCCATTCCTATCCTCTTCACAAAAGTAGGCCTCAGTTGTCTGGGGCTCTAGAATTGGATCAGCTTACTAGGTCTTTGGAGACTGAGCTTTCAGCCCGCAGGACTGGCTTACCCTGAGGTAAGGGGGAGATGCTCTGATCACTTTAATTTCTCTAGGGAAATTTATTCACAAAGAGAGGGTGGGAATTTGCACACATTTCATTTTTTCTTCTTTTGTTTCCAACATACTATTAACATCTTCTGGGAAGGAACTCAGAGTTGTGTATCTTGCTAAACAGTTAAAAAAAAAAAAAAGTCATACTCTCTTAAAAGTGATTTGTTTCCCATGTGAAGGCCAAACTGTGACATAATCACACAAAAGGGATCTGGCATTATGAATGGGTACCTCTAGAATAGAACCATAAAAGGGATTATCTGGAGGGCAGCCCATTACCCAAACCCTGATAAATTTGCCAAGGTAGTAAATGCCAACCTAGAAAGTTACCTGGAAAAGGATTAGAGGAAGACATTTCTTTGCATTGCTATCATTGTCAGAGTAAACCTATTTTTCTCTTTTAGAGTTGTTACAGATATAAAATATCCATACTCTTCATCAACATGTTTGCTGTCAGCGGGACATCACAGATGTCAAACCTAATACTTAAACATGGCAGATATTCCAATGTTAATGATCAGATGAATGGCAGACATGAGGTCAGAATAAATTTCAATCAAGAAAAATGATCTAATTATTTCAAATTTTAGGCATGAAATTAGAATGCATATAAAAATATAACCCCGTAAGGAGAAAACACATTTAAAAAGACTCTTGGTGGATGACAGCATTTATTAGTCTTAAGATTCATAGTTCATTAAAAAAAAAAATCTTACGTAATAGGTAAATAAATTTAAGAAAAGCAATCTCCAATATCTGGCCTTTCAACCCAAAGGCAAAATTTCTAGAATGCTAACTATAATCTTGCTGAATAAAATAAAAAAATAAGATACTTGAGGGAAGCATGTATTGACCCTGATGTTAGAGTAAAAATGGGAGACCTTTTTAGGTAAGAAGATGATAAAATAAAACCAAAAGGCTGCCTCTTGATTCTATCTTATGTTTTTAATGTTTATTTATTTATTTTTTACTTTGAGTGGGAAAGAGAGAGAGAGAGAGAGAGATAGAGAGAGAGAGAGAGAATGTGCATGCAGAGCAGAAAGGGAGACCAAGAATCTGAAGCAGGCTCCAGACTCTGAGCTATGTGCAGAGAGCATGACAAGGGGCTTGAACTCACCAAATGCAAGATCATGACCTGAGCTGCAGCTGGAACCTTAACCGACTGAGCCACCCAGGTGTCCCATTTTGATTTTACTTTAAGTTGCTAAATGGTGAATAAATATTTAGGGAGTGCCTGTTATGTGTCAACCGTGTTCCATATGATGAAGATACAATAATAAATAAGATGGGACAAAGTCTCTGCTCATACTTGAGAGAATAAGTGGTGGTTCAAGGAAAGAAAATCTATATAATGAAGAGTTTCACTACGAAAACACAAGATAGTTGTATAATGGTATATATAGATCAAGAATTGGCACTTTTGTTCTATGAAGGGCAAGGCAGTAAACATTTTAAGTTTTGCTGGACAGGAGGCAAAATAGATGATATTTTGTACACATACACAGAAAAAAAAAAATATATATATATATATAAAACAGAGAAAACAAATCTCCACAAAACATGACAAAAATTTGAAATATAATAATAATGCAAACATAAAATGTAAAGATACATAAACACAGAGACTTAGTCAACACTGTAAATGTCCACCAAAAGGGGACTGGTTAAATGAAATGCCAACAGCTGTTAAAAAAACTGTGGTAGAACAACACATTCTGAAACAGGAAAGTATTCAAGGTATATTGCCAGGTGAGATGGGTAAGGAGAAGGAAAGTACAGTGTATCATTTGGGGTGCAGAGAATGTGAACACATTTTATGTGCACTCAAATTTCTGGAAGGATATATGAATCAATGAACAATTGTTAATTCTGGGGAGTGGAGACTTATATTCTATCCTTTCTCTGCAATTTGATTTTTCAAAAACTTTATGTTCCTTTAAAATAAAAAATTAGTTAAAATAACTCAGACATGTAATGCTGAATCTGAAAGTTTACTAAGTATTAAAGAAATCAAATAAAAAGTTTGTGCTATTAAATGAAAAAGAGGTAAGCAAAAAGTTCCATATGCACACTCGAGAAAAAAAGAAAAATTCCAGTTTTACAATCCTTGGCCACACTGTTGAGTTGTTTTAGGTCTCATCGAACATTAGGTCAAAAATTCCCCCTACAAGTTTCCAAGTTATAGAGCAGCATGTATACTGATTCTATAACCAAAAATATATGTATTCAAAGAAAATGATGAAAAGAATACACACCAGTCTACACTGGCAAGCTTATCAGTGGGTAGAAAAGTTCTGGTTCCTACTTTATTCAATTCTGTATCATGGGACTTTTTAAAAATAATAAAACACTACACAGAAACGTTAAGTAATGGAATACCACAGTTTTCAAGATACTTACAGTAAAAACCAACAGCTGTAGGCAGCAAAAACAAAGCAAAATCACAGAACAGTCAGCAATCAAAAGCAAACTATTAACAGTTCTGTAGCTTTCACCCAACTTGCTAAAAACAATTAAACAAGCAGCATAAACACACTGAAATCAACAGTAAGTTAATCAGACTTGGCCAATGTCACACATGTACTACAATACACACATGTGATGTACACAGCTATCCTAAAATTCAGTGCTGTCATGCAGAACTTAAGGAACTGAATTTGAAAATTAATTGCTAAGGAGTATTTTATTCAACAAATATAAACAGCACCATAAAAGCGTTTTCATAAAGTTATACATTTTGGGGTTTAAAAAATACAACTTATAAGTTAAATACCTGTATGTATTCTTTTTTTTTGTAATTAAAAAAATTTTTTTGAGAGAGAGTGGCGGAGGGGCAGAGAGAGAGAGAGAGAGAGAGAGAGAGAGAGAGAGAATCCTAAGTAGGCTCTGCGAGGTCAGCGAGGAGCCCTACGTGGGGCTGGATCTCATGACAGTGAGATCATGACCTGAGCTGAAATCATGAAGCAGATGCTTAACTGAGTGAGCCACCAAGGTGCCCCATATGTGTTCATTTATATTGCTGGTATGGACACAGACTGCAGACTGAGCTTTGCAGACTGACCTCTCAATATAGATTTTATCAAAGCATCTTTGGCTCTTTCAACATGTTTTCAATGAGTGAACTATGCAATCAAACCAAGTAGCACCTTCTCTTCAAATTTCAGTGCAATGAGGGGCTTACAGTTTCTAAATTTTAGTAATTTCAACCTCTTCTTTTGGTTCCCCCAGCTAACTCCCCAGCTGACTGCTCTCTTAGTCCTCTCTCCCTACAACCATCCCTTATGTTCCTCACCCCCACCTCTAGATATGCCAATGACAAAAAACAAAGCCATAAAAATCACTTAATTTAGAAACCATCTGTCCTTAAAAACGCAGCTTATGAAAGTATGCATACTTAGTTTGTGTTTTGGTAGTTTAAAAATATTTTATTTGTGAATGTAGTATAAGTAAGAGGCATTGCTGTGGGACACACATAGAGACATGAAAATAAATTCCCAAGCTCCTACTTGAAAGCAATGTAAGAATAGACAATGAAAATGCGTTAAAGATTTCTCAGAAAGGAGGGATGGCCTTCCCAGAGAATGTAACATTTGAGCTCAGCATCATGGAATAAGAGAAAGTTCACCGGATATGCAGGGAGAGAACTTGACAGGTGGCAAAACAGCACGGGCAAAGAAATCACACTTGTGAAGATATGTGGCAAAGAGAGAGAATGTCAGAGTAGGGAGACTGGCAGGACAGAAGGCTAAAAGGGGGGTTTACAATCATGCTGTGTAAAGTGAACACTGACAGTTACTATGTTATTGTTGCAAGGTTACAGATTCACTCTGCCTTGTCACGATGGGGCTGAGATTCTGCGAACCACATTCTTGCCAACTGGTCCCTTCTTAGGTTATGCCAAAAAGGGCACCAAAAGCAACTGTAAGGTTAGAGGAAGAAAACACTTCCTGCTTTATGTTTTTTCTTGTGGGATTTTTCTTCCTGTACTACCCCAGCAACACATCTTCACCCTGTGGTGGCATTTCTTTCATGTACCAGAAGATGAATCCACTTTGCAGTTTTCCTGCCTCTGTGATACCTTAGTGCTTACTTCTTTACCATTTTAGGTAAACAGTTAATTGGCAACAATTTCTTGTATTAAATTCTGATTAAATATCTGGAGTGGTTTCTATCTCATGACTGAACCTTCACTAATTCAGAAATCATTAAGAATTCCTAAGCAGAGTAACAACTCATTAAAATTTGTGATCTAGAAAGAACACTGGTAGACAGGTAGAGAGGAGGATGTGTTGAAGACAGATTAGTGAGTTTTGTACCCTCCAACAGTTAAGAGGCAAATGAAATTTTTAAAGACCCAAATAACAATGTACAGAATGAATGTCACTAAACTGTGGTACGTTGAGTTTTTATTCAAGTTGCTATAATAAAACAGAAACTTTACTACTACACTTATTATATATTCCCTCCTTTCTAATAATGAGATTCATGTCATCAAGCTTCCTTCCTTTCTTATACTAGCTGTTAGGGCCTTCAGCATTAAAACTGAAGTTGAATCACAACTACACCAATCTTTGTAGATCTATTTATTTTTTTTTCTTTCTTCTCCTTGGACCTAATTATACATCTTGGTTTTAACTGTATGTGTCTTTTATTGAAAGCCATCCCAAATCCTTTCAAGTGATGGATACATAAGTAATTTTTCAAGTTTTTCTTCCCTGTAATGAAATTTTACATTATACAGTTAAATAACAATTTTTGTCTTTGGGCACGAACTGATGCATAAAAATAAACTTGATGTCCCACATGATGTTTACACCTAAAACCAAAATTTAAGCACTAATGAAAAGATGCTATAGTATATCTAATTAACAATACATGACAATAAAACAATTTTAGCTTCAGGTGCTGGGGAAAAAAGTTTCCAGAAAATTACTAACACATTTCAGTACCTCACAAAGGAAGAGAAGTGAGGCCACCAAGACTGAAAAAATTTCCCTTATCCTTTTCCACACCATGGATAACTTATTTCTTGGCTGAGAAGCAGCATCCTTGCTTTCTTTCCACTGTTCTGATAAGGGTTACCAAAAGATACTTAAATGTAATCTCTTTCCTATGTACTATTTTATATTGGAGCAAGTACTGCTCAAGCTTACGCAAAAAGACAAAATGAATGTTGTGTTTGGAGTTCTGCAGTGAGTCATAACCTTGAGATAAGAGAAGAGGGAAGCAAGCAAATCTATTTGATACACAAGTCTCAACCATCTAATTTGTCACTTTGGAATCAATACGGCTATATAAAATCACAAACAAAAATTACCTGAAGGATTAGAAAAATCCAACATGCTGGTGGTAGGCTGCAGGAGATCAGGGCTGCTGGAAGAGAGTGTTCCAGGAATAGGCATTATAGCCAGACTGTGCCTGCAGTGTCTTGTTCCCACAATGCTGTCATCTTGTGACTGGCTCAGGCCTCCATCACTTGAAAAAAATGTCATACATCACTTTAAAGTAATTGAGAATTCTTAATGGTAAATGTTTCTGCTGTCTGTACACTAAGGCATAATGGAACCAATTCAGAGTGGTGATTTAAAAAATTATATATTACAGCAATTTAAAAATAGGACAACTATAATAATGAATACACTTATAAGTTAAATTTTTAGGATAAATAAATTTTAAGCAAGTTAAACCTAAGAAATACTACTATATCATAAAGGTGTACTTCATAATGCATCATAAAGAAATAGTCACATTGAGTTTCTGTTGGTTTGGTAAAGAAATTAAATCTGGGTGTGTTGGGAGCCTTTAAAGATTGGCCAGTTTCAGTAGACACTAATATATGTATCCAACAAGGCACAACCACACCCCAACAAGGTTCACACTCACAACACAGTGGATGGTGACCTTTTAGGCAAAGGATGCAGCTGGGTCTAAACCCAAACCAAAAAATGGCAGGCTGCAGAAAACAAAGGGACCATATCCGAGTGACAAAGTAAGAGAGGTCTTTAAACATATGAACAACCGGAGAACTGCCCAAACCAGTGATAACTGGGAAAAGATAAGAGGAAGATGGCAAACAGAAAACAATGGGTATATGTGACAAGTACGAAGAAGAAAGAAGAGGGCCAGAAATCAATATAAAGGAAAAAGAATTTTATAGTCTCTGAAGTTTATTTGAGGACACATTATTTCTTGTGTGATGTCTCAAGTCTAATTACTTGGCTACTTCCTAGAGGAGAACATCAAAACTACAAAAGAAAGCGAACCATCTAAAGTTAATTCCCTTTAAAGTTTTAAAAAATATCAATCAAATGGCCATATGTAAGCAAATAAAGCACTCTTAAAATACTTTAAAGGTGTTACAGAGGCAACTCTAAATCCACTGAAGAGAAAAAAATCAAAAGAAATATAACTCTGTTACTTAAGTTTTAGATACCCCCAAAAGTTCTATAAAACAAAGGATAAATGAAACAGTCCTATATAAAGGACAGCAATGAAAAAGATTTCCATCAGCATCAATGATCAAAACACCACTTGTTTCTAAGAGTTAAACCAATTCTTAGGTTAACATTAATTCTTATCTATGTTTTACTCAATGTAGTATTCTACCCAATACTTGTTACACATATAGAGGTATCACAGAATACTTACCTATTATCATGGAATGCATTAAATGAATGGTATGGGATACATCCAGAATGTTAGAAGAGTCAAACACAGGACTTAGGCAGATAAGGCAACTATGCAAGATGAAGTGTGGAGGATGGTTAAATAAACAGCTAAAGAGCTGCTGCTAGTAGCCAGACAAGGAAGACAGAGCTAGGACAAGCAAGACTGCGGAGGAGTTAGGGAAAAGCATGAAGACACGGAAGAGAGCAAAAGTGTTTCAAGAGCCAGCTATGCATAACCTGGATAATTAGCTACATGACCTCAGGGAAATTTGTTTCTGGACCTTGGTTTCCCCATCTAAAAATATAACTCTCTCTCCCCCAGGACTACTGTAAAGATTAAATGAGGTAATGTGGATGAACATTTTGGCTCAGAGGAAAAAACAATTCCAATTTTTAAGAAGACAGTGAATTACTTTTACTGAAATTAAAACAGAACAGTACAAAACTAGAAAGTACATTTTAAAATTTTAACAGGCTTTCTAATTTAATTGATTTTTGAAAACATATCTGCCAATTTTTGGACACAGACGGTCAAGTAATTAAATCCAAAGAAACAAACTGTTAAAAGAAGTTAGCTGGTCCCATTAATAATAACAGTAGAATCAAATGTAATTGTGTTAAAAAGTTATAATATTCTACTAAAGGGAACTGGCTGCCTTAAGTTACAGTAAGATGGAATTCACTATAAGACTAAGGAAAGTGTATGAAACACTAAAAGTCCTTATCTCTTTTACTGATGTTATTTAACATTACCTCTGCTTTTTAATAATCAAAGACAGGACACTGTAGAGATATATTAATGTAAAGCTGGTTACAAATTCATGGTAATTAAGGTGTGAGCATGTATAAATGAAAACTATACTAATGTTATTATGTACAACCCATGCTATGACACGAATGAAACAGTATCTAATTGGCAAAATATCCATGCTTGTTTGGAAGCTGAATTGATAAAGCCCGTTTGCAAATATAGTAATTACATCATTTCTTACCAAAACAGTCTCCTGAGAAGATGATGCAGTAACAGAAACAACATACTTTTAAAAAATTCCTCAGTAACTCCCCAACACTAACTTTACTTAGAATAAAAGTATATTTTAGTTTCACATTATGAAACTAAGAAGGCTACATAAACACCTGTAATGCTAATAAAAAATAATCCCAATGTTAAAAGCAAACAAAGTATGCTGACAAAAAAAAAAAAAAAGGTGAGAAAAAATAATTTCTGATAAGCAAACAAGACAGTCTACTTCTGGGACTGTGTTACAAAGAATAATATTAAGCTGTTATATAAGCAATTTGTGATTAAAAAAAAATAAAGGCTGAATGATTTTAAAAAATAGGACATCAGATTTGCTTTTTTTCCACTGATGTTATTGGAAATTAGTAACTATTTTTCTACTTCTAATGTTCAGGAGAATTCTTTCATTTTAAAATTATGTCATGGTTAGGGATTTGGGGAATTATCTATTCTTAATTTCAACTATTTGTTCCTTCCTTATTTTAATATTCTTTGTCTCACAGATACACATACTCTTTCTTGTAGTATTTCGAGGACAATTCTTAGAGAAGTGAGTGCTACAAAGGCAGAGACCAAGAGCCTTTTTCAAAGAGCCTTGACACACATATGTTCAGAATTGTGGAATTAGACTCATCAAAATTATTTCTCACTTAAAAAATATTCAAAGTAGAAAATTAAAAACAATATAGTGAACAAGAAAACAATTACCTATAAAACCACACCCTACACAAAACCACAACCAACAGTTTTCCTTTTTAGTTATTTTTACAGTATACATTACAATCTAATTAACCAATCCCCTGTAGCTGGACTTCTAGGGTATTTCCAATTTTGTTTCATTATAGGTAATACTACTAAGAATATCTGTATATAAATCTTCATCAATTTATTACTAGAAATGGAATTGTTGAATCAAAGGTATAAACATTTTTAAAACTCTTAATCAAAAAATGCCCAGGGAAACCTGGGTGGCTCAGCTGGTTAAGCCTCCAACTCTTGATTTTGGTTCAGGTCATGATTGCCAGTTCGTGGAATAAGCCCCAGATCCAGCTCCAAGCTGACAGCCAGGAGCCAGTTTGGGATTCTCTCTCGGCCCCTTCCCCAGCTTGCACACACTCTTTCTCACTCAAAATAAATAAATAAAACATTTTTTAAAAATGCCCGAATACTTGATAGAAAGGTTGTCATTTCCTATTTTTTTTTTTAATAGTTATTTTTGAGAGAGAGAGGGAGCAAGGGAGGGGCAGAGAGAGAGAGAGAGAGAGAGAGAGAGAGAGAGAGAGAGGATCTCAAGCAGGCTCCACACTGTCAGCACAGTGCCCAACATGGGGCTCGAACTCAAGAACCATGAGGTAGTGACCTGAGCTGAAATCAAGAGTCAGACGCTCAACTGACTGAGCCACTCACGTACCCCATAATTTCATATTTCTACAGCAGTTTGAGCTTATTATTTGTCTTATGTTATCAATTCAGGCCCTGATTATTCTCCTGTCAATCTGTGATAAAACAAATGATACACCGTTTTTAAAATAAATTTTGTGTCCTTGATTATTGTGGATGTAGAGTATGTGACTCAACATTCTTTGCCTATTTTTCTATTGAAGTTTCAGTGATTTTATTGTGTACCTATTAAAAATCCCCTGAATTCATTTGTAATGATTAAGTGCCAAGAAACAGGACACACATTCATTCTCAAAACTGCAAAGTGACCAGTCTGACAAATCAGTTCTCTGCAAAAAAAAAAAAAAAAAAAAAAAAAAGGCTCCAATGAAAACCTTTATGATTTCTACTAAAATAACATATTTTTTCTGGTATTTATATGGCTGAAATTATTGGCATTTTACTTCACTGAAACATGTTTAGAAGAGAGAGCCAGTTTAATATTAACACCTGATGTACAGTATTTTACTAATGTTAGCATTCACAGTGAACAGCCTCCGACTGGCAAAACAGACTCAATAAATACTTGCTAACTACTAAAAGAAAAAACAATTCCCTTCTGAGTTAACTACTTCTACAAAATATTTCATTTTGAGACGTACCAATACAAAGAAATAAGGCTTGAAAACACTCAAACGATTGTTCCTGGCCACCTTCCTTTCCATGCCTACTATAAGCAAAGATAGAATCCAAGAGGTGAAACCAATTCCCACTCCCTGAAGGAGATCCTATGGAGATGACAGACTGATTTAGCTGCCTGAAACTTGAACATAGCTACTTGGAATCTGACACTAACAAGCTGAAGTCCAATACAATCACTGTCCTATGGTTCTAGACAACACATGTCACAATTATGCCTCTGTTCAAAATGAAAAACAGTTAAAGGATACATTTATTCTAGATCAAATCCACCAGGGTTTCTAGAAATGGAACTCGGGGTAATACCTCCTAAGAATTCCCTTTACAAACTCTTTTTCTTTTTGGTCCTCCACTCATTTCCCTTTTCCCCAGTGCTGTCATGCACAATTCCAGTCATCCAAAACTGCCTCCCATCTTTACAATGTAGGCTAGTCCCTCTCATATTCTCCTTACCTCCCATTTATGAGAATAAGACTTCTCTTATAGTGTTTGCTGCCCTGCTGTCATATGACAGTATGCTCAATATTAAAAGAATTTTGCTACTTTAAAGTTAGGATTTTTACAATCTGCTTGCCTCTAGGAGAGCAGTCATTAAGAAAGAAATGAGTGACAATAAACACAGAGCTCAAGATGCTTTAATTCTCTGTGAGCCCCAAATTAAATGAAGAACAAATGTGTTACCTGATTGAAAGTAAGAACTCAAGAAGAAAAGCATGTTGAGATCAGGCAATCTCTGAGATCTTGAACACTATAAAAGCTGAGAGTTGACATTTACCTACTTCCAAGTTGTCCCCTAATTAGTGTCATTATTACAACGACAATGTGCTATACTGTCAACCCCAATACACCAAATACAACTAACAGAGCTTCTATCACTTCCTGCTATGACACGATGAAGTCCATCACTTTAGTATAATATTCAAAGTCTTTCATAACTCAGCTCTTCCCTATCTCTCCTGCTTCATCTCTACATGTATACCCAGAGTCTATATAACCTACCAAACTTGTTCCTGTCTTTGTGCACATCAAAACATTTATCACCCTGTAATGCACCATTTGTCTGCTTTCCCTTTTTAGATTACCAACTCTTAGAGGACAAGAAACTTGCTCTATTAATCTTCCTACATTTCTATATTTGAACACTGTCTGTGCCTTGTGTATAAGCATGTAGAGAATAAAGGGTTCCTGATACCAATTCCTTAAAAGTAGTAACTACCTGTTTTCAGCTCTCAAAACCACAGAGCATAGTGCTGGGAACTATAAGGAACTAAACAAATATTTGATTATGTTTTGCTTAAACGTTTTCTTCCTTTTATTTTTTTTTCTTCTCTTCTCTTTCTTTTACTTAATTCACTGTGTTAATTTATTCAACAAATACTGAGTGCCTACTGATGTGCTAGGTACTGAGCTGGATTAACACTTCTGTGATTGCTTTATGAAGTAGATAATGTAAAATATACAGATATAATATATACTACACCCATTCCCATCCACTTCAGTGAAATGATTTTCTTAAGTACTTTACAGACCTCAAATTACATTTCAAATCACAAACTTTCCTTCAGTTTTGGTGACATCTCATTTTAGAAACAAGTAGATTTGACTAAAAAGGTCAGCTTTAGAATTCAGGAAGGAATAAATAGTGCAATAAGAGAAAGATGATTTAGAAGACAAAAAAACTAGCATCCGCAAATTTATCCTCAAGTTTTAAGATGTTCAAATTTGGGAGCACTTGGGTGGCTCAGTCGGTTAAGCATCTGACTCTTGGTTTTGGCTCTGATCATGATCTCACAGTTCAGTGAGTTCGAGCCCCACTGCCAAGGCAGAACCTGCTTAGTGTTCTCTCCCTCCCTCTCTCTCTGCCCTCCCCCACTCACACTGTCGCTGTCTCTCTCAAAATAAATAAACTGAAAAAAAAAGAAAAAAGATGTCCAAAGGACTTAAATTAGATAAAAAGTACACAAGAAAAGATTTTGTAAAATAAAATGGTCAGTCTTTCCTAAAATTCAAAACAAAGCTACTAGAAGAATATATACTCTAGTAGTGGTAATTTCATGGAAATGATGGAAAGATACTAAGATTTTCTTATTTATGGTTTACTTGAAGATTTTATAATGCGTTAGTTGTATAAAAAACAAATTGACCCCAAATTCCCTTCCCCCAAATAAAAACTTTAGAGTCAACAGGAAAATGTCTACATTACTGAGATGATTGTACCTACCTGAACAGTTTTGGAGGCAGGATACTAAACCGTGTTTTATCCAAAATTTTCCTGATTTTGTTTCTTCCACCTGAAACAGTATTTGCTTTTATTTTCTTATTTCCTTTCTCCTGTGATGTCTGTTCGATATCTCCTGGTACATCCTGGATTGAATGGCGATTACTTTTTTTTTCAGCAATTTTAGGAATATGAGGAACTCCATATTTTTCTTGTTCAGTCCTACTAAGTAACTCTTTGAACACTGTGTAAATAAATAAAGTTGTCATTTGTTTTATTCTCATTAGCAAGTTTTTACAAAAACAACAAATTTTAAACATCAATACAGTCACTTTCTATTATTTGGCCTTTCAAAGTCTCATCCACTCAACATTATGAAATCTACACCATGCTTCATTAGCTATACCAACTTATCTCTTCATTTCTTTTTACGATTTTATTTTTAATTTTTTTTTTTAACATTTTTATTTATTTTTGAGACAGGGAGAGACAGAGCATGAACAGGGGAGGGTCAGAGAGAGGGAGACACAGAATCTGAAACAGGCTTCAGGCTCTGAGCTGTCAGCACAGAGCCCGACAAGGGGCTTGAACTCCCGGACCGCGAGATCATGACCTGAGCCGAAGTCGGCCGCTTAACTGACTGAGCCACCCAGGCACCCCTAAGTTTTTATTTTTAAGTAATCTCTACACCCAATGTAGGGGCTCAAACTTACAACCCTGAGATCAAGAGTCACATGTGCTACTGACTGAGCCAACGAGATGTCCTTTAAAAAAATTTTTAAGGCAATTTCTACACCCAATATGGGGGGTTGAACCCAGGATGCTGGAATCAACAGTCACATGCTCTAACAACTGAGTCAGCCAGGTGCCCCTGTCTTCAGTTTTTATAAATGCCTATACTTCTGATATAGGCCAAAAGGGAAAAAACAAAGTCATTGGCAGAAATGAAAAGGAAGTAGGCAGGCAGCATGTTTGAAAAGTTCAAGGCTTCCTATTTAGCAATATTTGCTATGTAATAATAATAAGCAATATTAACTGCTAATCCTCTCAGATTTTATAAAACCAGATATTTAGATTCTATTATTTATGTTATTTCATATCATAATATATATCACTTGATATGAGATAGAAGTACTGTAGTCATGTTGTTTTGTAAAATTTAGCCATTAAAAAAAGAAAAAAAAAAGTTTTGATCGACCTATTTTTGCCAGAAATAAACAGTACTAAATTTAATAATAAATCACCATTTCCTCAAGGTCACATTTATGAGACTCCTGTCACTGAGTAAAGCAGCTAATAAACTTTCACTACAGTGGTCTGAAGTAACAACCAATCATTCTTAGGTAACTTCAGGTCGACCGTAAGTCTAAGGAGTTATTTCATCCTTAAGAACAGTACAAGTACACTCGAAGATTTGCCTATCTAGCGATCTCTTTGCCTAGATCAGTTTTTTTTTACCTTGTAAGAGGGGCTATACCTCCTTGGGATCAAGTGAAAAAAAGAAAAATCCTTAGAAGACTATGTATCTAGTAACTATTAGTGTCATCTTTTCCAATTAGGATAACCTATATTACTTAGGTTTCATTAATGTCATGAAAATATTTTTCAGTTGTTTTAAATATGTGTTCTTAAATAAGACCTATCAACTAGTAGAGGGGGAAAAAAACCCACTAAAAAGATAAATGCTAAGGAAGAAGGTAATTTCCTAAGAATTCATGGTGTCTGGGAGGGTCTGAATAAAAGAAAAATGAAGCTACATATTCTTGAATATGAAGGTCTTCAGAAGGTGCAGGTTTCAGTAGTGTTACTTGGAACCTTCATAAAAGAAAAATAAATTTTATAAATGTGCCCACTGAAAAACAGAGAATTGTGATCTTTTTTGTTTTGGGGACAAATCAATCATTTCCTTCACTATCAAACGAGTTACAAGTAAGATCCAATAGACAAAGACTTAAAAGCTGATGCATTACAACACAAAATGGCTTGGTATTCAGTTGTAAAAGTAGATCATCTTGAAAGTTTCAACCAGGATGTTATCACATTACCAAAGCATACTGAAAGTTTATGAAAAGCACATTTTCTGCCTTCAAAATAATAAACATCTTTGGAGTCACCTTTTAAAGATAATTTGCTTGATTAAAATGCAACAAATTCCTCTGAGTTTGTTTAGAAAATTTTGTTTTATTTTAAGCCATGTGGTAAAGGTGAAAATGCCTTTTTGAGGTAAAACTGATACACATCCATGCAAAAAACCACTTATTGACCTACAAACACGAAGGCACTACACTATGCGCTCGTAGATAACCCCTATTGCAGAAGAGTAAGTGTACAAAATATGGTACAGAAAGATCATAACCAGAGGAATTAAGAAAGCAGGAAAGGGAAAATCTTCCCTAATTAAGTTGCTGTAAGGTGAGTAGATTTTAACTAGGCAAAGTGAGGGGAAGGAGGAATGACTCTAGGTAGAAGAAATCTCAAGTTCCAAGTCCCTGTGGTAAAAAGAAACAAAGAAAATTAAGATGACTGGAGAACAAGGCAAAGAAAGGGCCTAAAAATGCTACAGTGAAGAGCAATAGGAAATCTTTAAATGGGCAGCAGATATCCCTGCCTGTGGTATGTACATAAGACAACTCAAGGGTGTACACAGTAGCTTACAGCTTCACTGGACTTGTGTATATAGTTACAAATAAAACTGTAGAAATTTTGATTTATAGATGAAGAGAAAATAATAAATTTTAAAAAATCAGTCAAGGTTCAAGACAAAAATTAATAGGTGAGCAAGTGTAATTACAATGCTATTAAAAAGCAATACTAAATATATGAATCAGAAATGAAGGTGCCCAAGAATCAAGAAAAGTAATAAATTGGACTACATGAAGATTAAAAATTTCTCAGTCTCTACAATTACGTACATATGTATACACACACACAACAAGCAAAGTCAAAAGACAACTTGGGAAAATATTTGCAACCCTTCGACTAAAAGATACTGGGGGTGCCTGGGTGGCCCAGTAGGGTAAGTGTCTGACTCTTGATTTTTGGCTCAGGTCATGATCTCATGGTTCATGAGATCAAGCGCCATATCGGGCTGTGCTGACAGTGCAGAGCCTGCTTGGGATTCTCTCCTGCCCCTTTCCTGTTCACACTCTCTCCCAAAATAAATAAATATTAAAAAACAAACAAAAAAAAAGACTACAAGATATTGTCCTTTCTTATAACACATTCAAATACATCAATAAAACATGAGTACCTCAAAATAAAAATGGACAAATGACTTTGTAAAAAATAAATGTTAACCTTTAAAAAAAAAAAGGTGCTCAACCTCCCTCATTATTAAATAATGTATATCAATAAAAATAAAGTTGATTATACCTGTTGCAGAGGCATTCTTATATACTGATAAAGAAAGTGTATGTAGACTGGGGTAAACTTTTGGAAAGTGAAACTGCAGCACTGTTAAAAATTAATTCCACTATGAGAAATTTACCTTCTAGGTCTATCTACATAAGCATAAAAGTATACAGGATTTTTATTTCAACACTGTAAATAGCAAAAACTGAAAACAACCCAAAACACCCATCAATACATTAGCTCAACAGATTATAATGATATTGCAGTGGATTTCTCTGCAATAACAATTATACAAGAATTAAATCTGTATCAACTCCTAAGCAAAGATCCAGAATGCTATACACAGTATGGCTCTACTGTATACCTTTTTTAAATGTTTTCATTTTCAAAACATACACATATAATACTTTTATGAAAACATTAAAATGCTAATAATAAATTATCTGAGTGATGAGATTTTCAAATGTTAGAAAGTTATGAAAGCCAGGAGGAATAGATGAGCTAAAATACCAGGGCAAAAAGATGGTAAACGGAGATTGCCTGATGTTTTCTTCTCTCAACATGAAGTCTAAACATGAAACGGGCATCAGGTAGAGAGACTCTGCTAGAGGAAAAAGGATTTTTGATGGCTTCAAGTACTGGCATAAAAACTGGAATACACACAAGGCCCAAAGCAGTGATGCCTTCCTCCATGGGACATATCTACTCCTAAGACAAGGTAGAAGAGCTGGGGACAGGTTCGAAATTTCTTAGTCTCATGGTACTTAGGAGACAAAGTCACACAACAAGGAAGGGTGTGCAACCAATACATGACATATTTCTCTGCTTGGGGTGAGAGGCTCAAGAGCTAAGTTAAAAAATCTCTCAAGGGCCAAATTTCTACAAAAAATAAGACAAAAAGCTACCAGACTCTGAATCAAAAGCCACGCCTTAGGGAAAAACTGGGAGTGAGGGTAGGAGGACAAGGCTGACAAAACAAAGTATAATTTCCCACAATCTCTCTGTGCTCAGAGACAAAGTTCCATTAGAGAAGGGGCCTGCATCAAACACATGACAAATCTCACTCTCATTTTGAAACTTGGGTATAGTCTAAGTAATTTTGTAACCTAGCCTGACCCAGCTCAATTCCCCTTACCTTATATGCTTAAACAGAGGAAATGGCAAATCCTTTCTATGAGAAAATACTAATCTGCCTATTTGCTAAGGTTCCTTAGTATACAAAGTACAGCATACAATAAAAAATTGTAAGACACACAAAATAAGACACTTTGATAATAGGGGGGATCAGAGAATAAAAGATAACACCCATTTTGGAATTAACACACAAGATTTTTGTAATAACCGTTATAAATATATTAAATAAAATAGAGATAAAATGGATGAAAATATGGTTTTGAGAATTGAGTATAAGAGAATTGAGTTTATAAGAGAGATTCAAACAGATATTCTAGAACTAAAAATTATCTAAAATGAAATTCTCTGGCTGTGTTCAAGGGCAGGACGGATACAGAAGAAAAGAGGAAAACTTTGCTTAAACCCAGGTCATTAGAAAATATCCAAACTGAAGCACAAAGAGAGGGAAAAAGGTCAAGAACACAACAGTCTGTAAAAGATGCATGGAACTCAATCTTTTAATATGTAAGTAAGTGAACTCTCACACAAAAAGGAGGCAGAATGGCAAAGGCAATGCCTCAGTTGATGACTGCGACAAAGTTTTGCTATCTTTGTTTAGCCTTCTGTGGGCTGTGGTACAGTTTCCAAAGCTTTGCAGGGTTATCTTCACCTGTTTGCTCTGCGCCACCACTCAGTCTGCCTGGGACCCGAGCAGAGGTCCACTGGCATGCCAGTTCTCCAAGTCTCTGGTGTGCTGAATAGGATCACATCCGTGCACACACACAGGATGGAGGTGAGCTTGGGATCTCATAAACAACTTTATGGAGTCGTCTCCTCTACCTCAGTTATCAACCTACTAACTTCCACAGTTCCTTAGGCTACCCTTTTCAGTCCTTTAGAAAGAAATTGCTGACTCTGGCTCTGTAGGGGCCAATGAGGAGGAAGAGAGAAAGAGTGTGTGTGTGGGCGGGGGCGGGGGGGGGGGGGGGGGGGGGGGGGGGGGGGGGGGGGGGGGGACAATGAAGGAGCCACAGCTCCAGTGAATGGTGAAGAACGTTCCCCTCCCTCCGAAGTCTGGCTTGTGCAGCTGTACTGCTGCTTGGAGGCTGAGGCCTGACAGAATGGGAAAAAAAAGAGGGGGGAAAAACTGTGGGGATTCCTTTTCCCACTCCTCAAGCCAGGCTTCTCCATTTGAACCTTTACCAGTATGTACTCAACCAGGTTTCAGCTTGCCTTGACTCCAGTCCAGTGTTATTGGAGGAAAAAAAAAAAAAAAATTAATTAATTAATTTACTCCTGGTAGTGGGACTTTAAATTTTCCAAGTTCTTCAATGATTCTGCCCACGTTTTACTGTTGAGCTGATTGGGAAACAAAGGGTGGCATGTGTTTACTCCACCTTACCTAGAAATGGAACCCTCAATTTGATTTTTAACTTCACAGATACAAGACAGTTACCTAACAGACTGTGTTTGATACTCTGGAACTCCTCTGTTTCTGTTGGTTCTGGATTACACTGATTTGAAAAAAGATTTTTTTTTAAATGTTTATTTCTGAGCAAAGGAGAAACACAGAGTGTGAGAGGGGAAGGGGCAGAGAGCGAGGGAGATACGGAATCCGAAGCAGGCTCCAGGCTCTGAGCTGTCAGCCCAACGTGGGGCTCGAACTCACAGACTGTGAGATCATGACCTAAGCTGAAGTCAGACACTTAACTGACTGAGCCACCTAGGTGCCCGGGGATTACACTGACTTTTAAGAGAGCCTCACAATCTTTGATTGTTTGCTTAACTCTGTATTTGAAAAATTATTTTTACAAATAATAGGTTATTGGGCGCCTGGGTAGCTCACTTGGTTAAGCGTCCTACTCTTCGTTTCAGCTGAGGTCATGATATCGCGGTTTGTGGGTTTGAGCCCCACATCGGGCTCCAGAGTGAGTGCAGAGCCTGCTAGGCATTTTCTTTCTCTTTCTCTCTCAAAATAAATAAATAAACTAAAAAAACAAAAAAAA